GCTGGGCTGGCTCTCTGGCTCACTAATGACAGAGTGGCCCCCCTGGAACACCCACTGGGCTCCCATCTGCTGGGCACTCACTGGGTGCCATGTGAAGTCCTCCCGTACATGACCTCTTATGACTGTCAAGGCTGCGAGCCAGGGAGGCACTGCCACCACTTTACAGAAGAGGAAGCCAAATCCCCACCCACACGTTTACTGATCTTGATCTGACAATAAATCAACGTATCCGAAACCAGATGGAAAAAGCCGGAGGTTTTCCTTCTCTAAAATCTTTCTTCTCTAGTTTGCTGGACTCTCGGTGTCCTGGACTCCCTTTAACAATTCTGGATAAGAGCCATATGAGCACTTCCGTAGAGAGTTTCTATTGGAGAACCGCCAGTCACTCCAGTCAGGATTTAGGGGCAGGAGGAGCCGAGCCTGCGTCCAGGCAGCCCCGTGTGACCGCGGGTGAGTCCCCTAAACTTTTTCCTTATCTGAACACCAGGGTGTGTGTGGAGGAGGGGTGGGGCCATCAAGCAGGTAATAGGCACAGTACTGACCATGAGCGCTACTATGAAATATCGCTTTATTTGTTTCGTTTGGCGCCAAAACCCAGGTGTGAACCGGTGCTTGTTTTTGAATAAGCTTCTTTTCATTCCTTATGAAATAAGATTTCTTATTTGTAAAACTAGAAACAATGCAAATAAGTGTACAACAGCCAATAGGTATTTAAAAAAAAAACTTGCTAGAATATTCACTAGAGAAATAATATGCAGCCGCTAAAAATGATATTCACCTACCTGCACCTTGCGATCCTGGGTTGGCTCTTGGAACAGAAAAGAGACATTAGTGGGGTGCCTAGGTGACCCAGGTTGGGCAAGCCAGGTTTCCTAACTTCTCTGCCCCTCAGTTTCCTCATCTGTAAAGTAGAGCTGTAGACAACTATACCTTGTATGGTGGTTATAAGGATTGAATGAGTCAATATATATGCATATGCATATATATGCAAATATACCTACTATATTTGCATATATGCAATATATATATATAGTAGGTATATTTATTAGGAAAAGAATACTGCCCATGTCACCAGAATGATTGTAAATGTTCCTCTTTGTCTCTTCCTCCAGATTCGAAGTCTCAAGTGTGGGGGACAGCAGGAGGAGTTGACATTGGTGGTTAAGGTTAAGGACCAGTGAGGATCCAGTGGGTGGTCCAGCTTCCATAAAGAGAGGGGTGCTGCCTCCCAGACAGGCTGCACAGAGACTTAAGAAACCAGGGAGGGGGACGGGTACCAGGCTGGGAGATGCCCCGGAAAGAATTGTGGAGTGAATGGCTGAATAGGCAAGCAAAACAAACAAATGCAACAAGTAGGACACAGTCAAGAGCTAGTTAGGGAGGAGCGGGAGGGAGGGGGACAGAGAGCCGGGAAAGAGAAGCTCTTCATGATGCGTCTGGTAGGTCACCTCTGGAGTGATGGGGCATTTCTGTCCATCCCTCCACGCTGCGGTCAGGGTGGACCTCGGCCTGGGGTGGGGGCAGGGATATAGGAGAGGTAAAGGGAAGCTGCACACGATGAATCTAGGCACTTGACCGCTAAAGCACTCTTTTTAATTTTGGGGGAAGAGTTGGGGTGGGGAGGTTAAAAACAGCTGGAGAGCCCAGGGGGTCTGCAGTTGGGAGGCCAGAGGGAAGAGCTGAAGGACCTCACCTGTGCTGTGGAAGCAGCCCCTTGTCACATGACTCAGTGCCTTCAGCTGGTGGGAACACTGGGAGATGTATTCAACTCTGCGGATCTTTCGCAGCACCCTCCTGCCCTCGTCACAGGATCTGGGTCTCCGGCAGAAAGGAACCCTCCCCACCCCGCCTGTGTCCTCCAGATCCTCCCCTTCCCTCCTCCTATTAGCCCCCCAGGATAGTTTTGGCCCCGTGGGGGTGTGCCTCCCAGGTGCCAGCCCACAGTGCCCTACTTTCTGGAAGCCCTCCCTTGCGGTTCCTTGACATCCTCAAGTATTTTGATAATCTCCCACAACTATGTTATAAATTCTGGGGTGGGGTCAAGAGAGAGGAAATGAGGGACCAAGACCTCACCTGCCTCCCCAGGTATAGCACAGAGGAAATTAAGCAAGCCTGGGTTACAGCGCCCCCCCCCCCAAAAAAAAAACTGTTCTGCCAGGATATATCCTTTGATCTCACTCCAGCCCACGCGCTGCAATCCTGTGGGCTGGGATCCTAATCCCAGGTTCTGACGCTAGCACCGCAGCCGACTCTGGACAGCATCGTTTTCATTCTACATCTGTCCAGCCTGCCAAATGGTCAAGTCACTTGGCCACTCTGAGCCTGTTTTTTCTTAAGTAAAATGTTGGGATGGGCATGGCTAGCAGGTGGCAGCTTGTGGGAGTGGTGTGGTGCCCCATAGTGACCCAGGCGGGGTGGCGGTGGGAGGGTACCCTTTGTGGTACACCTGCCAGCCTCCCCTTTCCTAGGAAAAGGCTCCTCTCTGTGGGCCCTGCTGCCCTCTGCTGGTCAAGACCCAGCCGCCTGGCCGGTGCCCAGGGGAGGTCAGGAGCCAGGGCTGGGAGTCCAAGAGCCCAGCTCTACCACTCACTGCTTTTGGTCCCACCCTTTAGCTTTCTGAAACTGTTTCCTCCTCTATAAAATGAGGGTATCGTGAGGCCCGAATGAGGTAGGATGTGCAGAATGTTACCCGCACAGCCAGGACTCTGGGATGCTCTTCTGATGGGCAGACAGGGGCACGGGTCCTACAACAACCCTGTTTCTGATTTATGGGTGTGGGTGTGAGCTCTGTGTGTGTGAGTCTTTCCTTCGCAACAACCCCCACCCCCCCAATCCCCATCTCCCCTCCTGTTTATCTCAATGGCAGGAGCAGCTCCCTCCTGCGCTGCTTGTGTCCACATTGGAGGTCCCACGGAGGATGGAGAATGGCGGCTGAGAAGGCAAGGACCCCGTCCTGCTCGCTCCCATACCCCCTGCTTGGTGTTCAATGTCTAGAATAGGGACTGCACGGGGTAGATAACCAATAGGAATTTCCTAATCAAACGCATCAAGCGTCTGCCCTGAGATTAGCACTGGTCCAGTCCTCATGTTTCTGCAGATGTGAGCTCTGAGGAAATTCCAGCCCATTCTCCTGCCTCCCCTTGGAGGGTCGGGCCAAATCCGACCTGTTTAAACAGAAGCATTTAGCTGGATATCCAGCTCTCAAAGCGTAGGGTGAGCCGTCAGCTATCTGGCTCTCTTTTGATCTTTCTGCCCCTCCGCCTGCTTTCCCTAGCCAGTGGCTTTGGGGTGGCTTCCTGGGGTCCATGAGGTTTCATCCTCTGAAGGAGGGGCCCCCAAGGGCAGAAGGAGGCTGGAGAAAACAAAGAGGTTGACCCGAAGTGGGGTGAGATGGGAGCCACCCTCCCCTCCCTGCACCCGGATGTGGTGCCGTCCAGGTCCAGGCAGAGGGAAGCTTCGTGACTCACGGAGTGTGCCCCACCCTCCCCACCCCCGGGATGCCAGGGAGTGGCCTGTCCTGGAGGACGTGACTTGGGGTCCCCACCCCTGCCCCTTGCCTTCCAGGCAGGCAACCCCAAGGCCGGTGGAGGAGGCGGTGTGCAGAAATGAAGACACTGTGGTTTGTGGCTCTTGGCCCCGGCCGGCCGGCCTCTGGGCTGTGCCTTCCCCTGGCTCCCACCAGTCTGGCCGCTGCCCCGCCGGGCGGGCTTGTGAGGAAAGGCGGGGGGGGGGGGGAGCTTGGCGGGCGAGGAGGAGAAGAGCAGCCCGTAATAACCTGGCTCCTGGGCCAGGCATCTCCAAGAGCTGCTACTTGCTGTGCCCTCCTGTGACACCTGGGATGGCTGTGTGGGGTGGCCTGGCAGGCGGGATCCGCCTCTCCCACTGCTGGGCGAAGGGGTTCGCCTTCTCCAAGTTTCCCACGCAGGGGAGAGGACCGCGTTCTTCCCTCACAGCGTCCCCACCCTTCCCGCAGTCCACCGTGCCGCCGCCGCCGCGGGCTCCCAGGCCAGAAGTCACCCGGCCTTGACCTGCGCGGGCTTGTTCCGTCTGTGGTGTCTGGACGTCTGTGGCTGCCCAACTGGTCTGCTCCTGCCTCTGCCTCCCAGCCATCCTGCCCCGTCCGTCCGTCACCGCACTGTCATCTTCAGGCTGTTCCCACGGCAGGGAAGCAAAGCCCAGGTCCTGAGCCAAGGGGCCTGTGCAAAGACAATGGACCCTTTGGGCTGTGTGCAGCGAGCGGAGGGGTGAGTAAGTTGGCAGGTCCACAGGCTTCCTGGGGAAGGTGGCGTCTGAGCTGGTGAAGGATTTGGGGACGGAGCGGGGATTCGAACAGGCAGCGATCAGGAGGAAGGGCATGCCGAGGCGGGCCAACAGCCTGAGCAACAGTACTGATCCGTGATTCTCCCTAGTGTGGTGCTCCCTGGTGTGGTCTCCCACACGTGGCTGGAGTGTCAGGTGTCTGCGGAAGAGCCCAAGTGGATTCCAATAAACCCAGTCTGGGCTCTCGGGGAGCAACCCAGCGGGGGAGACATGGCTATGCTGGGTGGAGAAGAGCTCCAAGAAAGTAAAGGAGAGCAGCCAAGGGCAGGGCGAGGCAGAGAAAGTGAATGTGTGGTCCCGACTCAACTGCTCCCCTGCAGGGACCCGGTCAAACGGGGCACGTGTCCCCTTCCCCTGTGGTGGCTCCAAAGCCTTTCTCTGCGCACCACCGCACCACCGTATCCTCCATCTCCCGGCCCCTTGTCTGGCTTCCCCTCTGCTCAGAGAGCAGTTCTTCACTGACCTTAACCTTGCAGCACGTGTTCTGGGTGAGACGCAGTGACTGCTGAGTGAAGCTTCAGGCCTACCTCTGGCCATGTGACCTTCTTCCTCAGGAAACAGGTCTTTTAAGGCCTTCCACTGATTGGACGAGACATCCTCCCCCCCCCAACACACACAAGGTCATCTCTCTACTCAAAGCCTCCTTACTTAAATGTTAATTACATCTAAGAAATTCCTTCTGGGGCAGCATCCCGGCTGGTGTTTGACCAAATGCGTGGGCACTGTCGCCTAGTCCAGTTGACACGTAAAGTTACCATCAAAACCTGTTTATTATCTAATCATCTCGTTCCTGGGAGAGCACTGCCAAGAGATAAGAGGCAAGAACCTATTCCTCGTGTTTACCAGGTTAGAAGACTGAGGCCGTTCCAGGACCAAGCACATCACTCCCTCCGCCTCTGGGTTGATCATCTCAGCCCCACATCCTTCTGACCTGCTTGACCTGCAAAACTGCACACGGCATCTCGATGTCTCTGGTCACTGTGATAGAACACATGTCCCCTCCCCCCCCATCCTCACCTGTGGTCTTCTTTCCACGCTTTCTCTCCAGGTAACTTCCCAGCTACCTCTTCAGGCTGGGGTTGGAACCCCTCCTCTGTGCTTTCCCAGATGTGTAAACCCACCCGGCTTTGAGGATACAAGCCGCGGTCCCCTGTGTAATGTTAATCCCCAGCTCTCGTCATAGCGCGGGGCACACCGGAGAGCTCGTGAGAGAGACCAGGCTGTCAAGGAACAGATGACGGAGTCCTGGTTATCTCAGGGAAGGAGCCGATGCCCCACCGGTCTCCTAACTTCTTGTTCAACATCTTGCCCTCGAGTATAGAAGCTATTGCCCAGCCCAGCCACACTCCATGCAGTTCGCTCCATGCTTCCTGTACTTTCCTTTCTGGCTGGCACCATGCTGGGCAGCGGACAAGCATTTTGTCACTTCCTTCCCACAGCAACTCTGTGGGACGGATATGATTGCTCCCATTTGCCAGATGGGGTACTGAGGCTCAGAGTGTGACTCTCATAAAATCACATAGCTATGGAAATGAGCCCTGACATTCGAACTCAGATCTGCTACTGACTCCAGAGAGGGAGCACTCATCAATGCCGAAAGGCCACGCCACATCCTCAGCTAGGGGCTGGGGGACAAAAAGATGAGGCAAACGAGGATCCTCACTTCACGGAAGTCGAGGGCTAGTGCAAGAAGACAAGAGGCGCGAGAAGTCAGTGTGAGAAGCATCACAACGACGTAAATATCAGGGCTCCGGGAACATGTGTTTTGGGAAATTAGAGAAGAGAGTGCTCTGAGCTGGGCTTGAGGACGGCAAGAAGGGGAGAATATGGAAGAACATTCTGGGCATGGGGTATGCTTGGAGGGGGCAGGGAAAAGGAAAAAAACAAGCTAGAAATCTAGGCCAGGAAAAGCTATTTCCCATTCCTAGTAGTTTAAAGTCAAATCCTGAAGCGGAGCTTGCAATCCACGTGGGGTATTTGGAGTTGGGCCCCTAACACCATCTCACCTGCCTCCGCTCGGTTCTGTAACCCAAGCCGGGAGCCCTCATGGGGCAGGAGTGGCCCCTCCCTGAGCTTCTTCTGATGAAACTGAAGGGACATGTGTTTGTGGCTGGTTCTGTGTGCTGGGGCCTCATGCGATCAGTTGAAGGCTTTAAGAAAAATGATAGATTTGTCGAGGAAGAAGGAATTCTGCCTCAAGTCAGCAGCACAGAAAGCCTGCCTGGGCAGCCACCCTGCTGCCCTGCAGCATCAACTACCTGAGTCTCCAGTCTGCCCTGCAGGGTTTGGATTGCCAGCCCCTGTGATCATGTGAGACAACGAACAGGACATCATTGAGTGTATTATGTATATTACAGCTGTGCCATATTATATATTTATCATAAACAAAAATAATACTTGTGAACTTGAGCACTTACTGTGTGCCAGGCACCTGCTAAACTCTCTGCATGTGTCTCACGAGGACCTTACTCAATCTAAAGCCTCCATGACATCATTTGTGATTGGTCCCATTTCACAGATGAGGATACTGAGGCGCAGAGGGTTCAAGTCATTTGCCCAAGGTCCTAAGGTGACAAAGCCCAGGTTGGATCCGGGTAGTTCCACTCCAGTGCCGACACGTGGTGGATTCTGATCTGCTACGGAACATGTGTGTAAAGCAAGAGGCATGATGTAACTGATAAGCGACGTTGTTTTAGTTGTCATAGTTACCACTGGATGGGCGAAGGGGGAGGGGGAAAGGGCAACGGGTGAGTTCTGGCCCAGGGTGCTGGGAACCCCAGGCCCTGAAGGTGCAGCCCCGGGAACAGCCGCGAGGCGGAACCAGGCGATGTGGGCTGCTTCCGGATGTGCGGTCCAGGCTGGGACGGGGCGTCTGGTAGTCAGTCATTGTAAGGCACTCCAGGGCTAGCCCTCCACAGGGCTGGGGGGCTCTGGACCCCCCTTCCTCAGGCCTCAGGGGGTTACACTCCGGTCCAGGGACCACAGACCCGCGGTCTGGTGCCCGGCCTTCACGTTGTCCATCTGTGTGAGGCGCAGTTTGGTGGTCACAGCCCGGTGACTGGGTCCAGCCCAGCCAACTGGGCGGAAGGAAGGTCAGCGCCCCGCTCCTTCCCATGCTGCTAGGGTGCTGGGGGCAGGGAAGGCCTCAAGGTGTCAGGTCAGCACACAGATGCTCCGGGTAAGCCTCCTCCAGAAGTTGCGGCTGCGGCTGCTCAGGGCCACTTTGGCCGCTTCCTGGAAGACCGCGTGGACGTTTTCTTGGAGCAAGGCCGAGCACTCGAGGTAGGCCACTGCGCCCACGGACCTTGCCATCTCCTGGCCCTAAGAGAGAGAGTGCAAGGGGCTGCCGGGAGGTAGAGGCCTTGGGGGCCTCCGGTCCCTCCTCCCCGCAGCCCTCTGGCTCGTCCTCGGGAATGTCCAGGACGAAAGGAGAAGGCAAGTTTTTCTAGGGCGCCTAGACCTCCTACCCCATCCTGACCGAGCACTTTCGAGGGCTCACTGGGTTTCCTGCCTCAGCCCCAGGGTGGGTCCCTGCCTCGCAAGGCACCAACTAATCGACTTCCCAGGTATGTAGCAGAGCGGGGCCTGCAGGCTGAAGAGCTACGGGTCCTTCTCCAGACCTCAGGTTCCCTATCTGTGAAGTGGGTGGGTAGGATTATCTGAATGTGCACACCACTCGTTCTCTCTTCCACAGGAAGAACCTTCTAGAGTATTCTAGTTACCATTTCCAAGTCCAGGCAGTTCCAAGATGACCTCTGCCCTGACCCACGCTTAAGTATGCTGGATGTCCGGCACTGCTGACACGTACGCCAGATCAGCATACTCAGAAGTTTCCTCCCGCCACCGCCCCCCCCCCCCGCCCCAAGAACCGGGCCCCTGGACTGAGTTTCCTACCCTGTGGTAGGTCACAGGCTCCAATTTGTTTTTCCGCAACTTCTTCACCAGCGACTTGTCCTTGCGCAGGTCCGTCTTGCAGCCCACGACAATGATGGGCACTTCCTTGCAGAAGTGGTTCACCTCTGGGTACCACTGCGGGGAGGGGGGCGGTGTGGGTGTGTATTAGTCATCGGGATTGCTGTTCTTCTCCGCAGATGGGGAGGACGGGCCACCCTCCCGTCTGGCCGACTCCGGCGGTGATAATCAGTACAGCCAACATTTAGGGAGAACTACTCCGAGCTAGGCTCTAAGACTGCACGTGTATAAAATCATCAATCCCCCAAGTCCCTGTGAAGCAAGTTCTGTCATCAAGCCCATCGTACAGATGCACTAACTGAGGCTCAGAGAGGCTGTATAACTTGGTCTTGGTCATACGACTAGAAGTGGCAGGATTTGAGTCCAGGGGCTGGAGCCCAGAGCCCTGCTCCCACCTGGTCTGGAATCCTGCCACTCTGCAAGGTAAGGGCTCCCAAGTCCACCTCCCAGATGGGTAAGATGTATAAGGAAATAAGTCATCCTTTAAAAATAAAGCAGCTCACAAAATGGATGCACGGCTGTTTGCCTGTCGGAGGAACACTCATGTTCTGTGTCAGCTGCTCTTTGGAATGTGAGGCTTCAGGGCCTGGGGAGTCTAGAAGCCAGAGACCAGGGCTTTATGTTTCCAGGAGTGCATGCCTGCTCAGTTTGTGTTCTGGAAAAGTAATGGCATCAAACCGTCTGGCTCCTGGAGCCAGGTGGGGCCCTGGTGGGGTCCTGGGCTGACTCCCCAGACCCCAACGCCCTCCACAAAACCGCGCTTGAGAACGGTGTCCACCATGACTTCACCTTGCTAAACCCAACAGCCAAGCCTCAGCCGCCATCCTACCTGAGCCCTGGGACCAGGCAGGGGTCTCTCTCTCCTCTACAACCTGAGTGGTGCTTTGCACTAGGACCCCGCTCTCTTGGTTCTTCTCCTTGGGTCTCCAGGGGTCCTCCCTGGCCCCCATTCTGCCCAGTGCTCTTCCCCACCAGCAGTTCCTAAATGCACCTGCCCAGCCCGGCCTGGCCCTTTCCTGGAAACAGCTGGGAAGTCCAACTAAGACCTCCGCCTGTCCACCTGGCCCTCCACGGGGTCTCCCACCACCTCACCCACCCCCTGCTCCTTCTCATCTCCCAGGGGGAAACAGCAAGTCCACCTTCCACTTGCTCTCGTCAAGATCTCTCTCCCACCTACGTCCAATCTGCAAATCCTGATGGCTTTCCAAACAGGGTCTATACCCCGCCCCCTGCTGGCACCCTGGTCACAGCCACCACCAACCACCACCTCTCCTGGAGGCCCCAGCACCTAGAACAGTGCCTGGTACACAGATATATTCAATAAAGCGTCTGAGTGACTGTGCAGCAGACTGCCTGGTTCAAACCCCGGGTTGCCACTTTATTTTTATTAAATTTAAAAAAATTGTTTTAACATTTATTCATTTTTTGAGAGCGAGAAACGGAGAAAGAGAGAGAGAAAGAGAGAGAGAGACAGAGCATGAGTGGGGGAAGGGCAAGGAGAAAGGGAGACACGGAATCCGAAGCAGGCTCCAGGCTCCGAGCTGTCAGCACAGAGCTGAGGTGGGGCTTGAACCCACGAACCGCAAGATCATGAGCTGGTGAGACACTTAACCAGCTGAGCGTCACAGGCGCCCCATCGAGGTTGCCACTTGAATAGATGTGTATCTTGGAGCAACAGATCCAATCTGGGGACAACACGACTACCAGCTGCATCAGGTTGTTAGGCGGAGTAAATGAGTGATTGTGTGGAAGTGCCCCCCACAGTGCGGGGCATAAGGAAAGTTCTCAATAAATATGAGCATCATTGCTGTGGTTAATGTTACCGATGCTGCCACCAGCTGTGCTCGGAGGAGCTCTGGAGCACACAGTTAGTATGGAGGCCCTGGTGGGGCAAGAGCAGAAAAACTCAAGGGACCACATCCCTGACACCTGGGAGCAGGGAGAAGCTTTGGGAACCCCGACCTAGCCGGGAGGGGCAGCTTGGAAGGCTGCTAAAAGCTAGCGTCACACAGCAGGGGGCTGAGCCGCTAGAAGCTGACCATTGATGCACCCTCGGGCAGGCCCAGGCTGGAGGGACGCAGGGGCCTCTGAGTCACCCGGTGTTCTCAGGCAGGGTCACAGTGGAAAGAGCCACAGCATTCTGAGTCCAGGACAGAGCAGGCAAGGAGCAGCAGACTGGGAATGTGAGGCCAGATCCTGTTGCTGCCCTCGCTCTGGGCCTCGGTTTCCCCACATATATGCCAAAGGTGCCGGCCTCGATGCCGCCCAGGGCCTGCCACACTCTGGCGTTCTGCTGAGTCAAGGGCGGGGGCAGAGTGAGTGGCCTGGTGAGGGGGCTGTGAGGTACCAGCCCCTGGTACCTACCCGGTTCAAGATGTTATCGAAGCTGTGTGGGCTGGTCACATCAAAGCAGAGGAGCAGGACGCTGGCATCAGGGTAGAACAGGGGCCGCAGGCGGTCATAGTCCACTTGTCCTGGGGAGAGCGGGGGTGGTCACTGCCTCCAGATCCCCCCCAACATCAGGGAGGTCATCCCACCGGACAGGGGCATCTGGATCAGGGCCCAGCTGGGTGCCTCAAGGTCCGATACAAATCTGGTGCTTAGTGGGCCATTCCACGTGAACGTCTCCCTCAAGGTGGTGGTCCCGTGGCTTGCACGTGGGACGTGCCAGCCCTGGCCTGCGTGAGACCACTTGCTGAGAGAGCCCCGTTCTGGTAGGAGCGTTTGGCAGGGCAGAAGCCCAGTCTGCAGGGACTGGGCCATCCCGCAGAAGCCTGCTTCGGCCTGGGCACGGGGGTGAGGAATAAGAAGCAGCTAAGACCCTGGGCAAAGGCACCTTGGCCCATGCGTGCGTGGTAAGGGGGCTGCTGGGTTTCCCTGGGGTTAGCTTTCAGCTCTGGCGTGGATTTGACTGAACCCTCATGTGGGTGAGGTCAGGAAACTGGGGGAGGGAGGTAAAGATCAGGCAGCTTTTTTTTTTTTAATTGTTTTTATGTTTTATTTAAAAAAATTTTTTAAATGTTTTTATTTATTTCTGAGAGAGAGAGAGAGAGAGAGAGCGCGCAAGCGTGAACAGGGGAGGGTCAGAGAGAGAGGGGGCTGGAACCCACGAACCGTGAGATCATGACCTGAGCTAAAGTCAGATGCTTAACCAACTGAGCCACCCAGGTGCCCCAAGGTCAGGCGGCTCTTACAGAAGCTAATTCCAAGGTGGAATTTCTAGGAGGCCAGGAACAGTTCACCCCAGAGGGAAAAGAGCTCTGGATTCCCCCTTGTCTCCAGGGCACTGATGGCCACCCTGGCTGGGGGAGGCCACAGACATAGGCGCAGAGGCAGAGAAGGCTCAGGTTCCTGGGGACCCTAATCCCGGCCAACACCTGTCCCTTGGAGACTGGTTGGCCTCCCTGGTTCAGAAGGAAAGGAGTAGGGCTTGGCTCCTGGGCATGTGGGGCTCCCCTCCCCCCTCTCAGCCCTGCACACCCACCTGCTGTGTCCCAGATTTGGAGGTTCAGGGGTTTGCCGTTCATTTGCAGATTAACGGCGAGTCGCTCAAACACAGTGGGGGTGTAGCTCTGAGGAAGAAGGGGACAAGGTGGAGGCTGTGAGTACAGCTTGTGAAGCAGGGTGACCCCACCTCCCAGGCCAGAGAGAGCCCACGGACGCAGGTAGCCCAGCTCCGGAGGGGGGAGTCTGACAGTGTGAGGGAGGCAGTCTCGCAGAATAGGTTGTGGCCAGCAGGGGTGAGGCCTCAAGCGGCCGCCTCCTGACCACACGCCCCAGCAAGGCACTGACCTCCCTGGCCTTCTTGATGGGAACATGGGAATATTAAAAGGACCTACGACAGGCGCTGCTATAAGGATTCAGGGGGAAGCTCTATGCCAAGCCTGGCACAAAACAAGCACTCTACACATGCCAGCTACTGTTATTTTTATCTTTGTCCCCCTGGATGAGGGACTGTCCCATTTCTGAGCCTGCCTTCATTCCGTCCCCTCCGCCTGGAATGACATTAACCTACATTTGTTCGTTCGAGTGTTCATTCATTCATTCGTACATTCATTCAGTAAACATCGGCACCTTCTCTAGCTCTGAGTATTGGGGAACAAGTAATAAACAAGACTCACTGTGTGCGCTGGGGAGCTTGTAGCTTTGGGGGGGGGCGGTCCCTGCTTTGCCTCTTGACCTCTCATAAATCCAGCCAAGGCCGCTGCCCCATGCCACCTCCCCCCAGGATGCCTTTCTGGAACCCTTCCCACACCCTGGCTGTTTGTGCCTTTCCTATTTGCTCTGCTGGGCTTCAGGAAGAAGTCACCCAGACCACACGGCCCTCCACCCCAGACCAAGAGCCCGAGTGCATTCCTTCCCTCTCCATAAGGCTGGAAGAATGGAAACACGATGGATTTTGTACCCAGACAAGATGCAGCAATGAGAAGGGGGAGCTTTTACAGATAGAGTCTGAGCAACAGGTGAGGAAGTTTTCTTTTTTTTTTTTTTAATTTTTTAACATTTATTTATTTTTGAGAGACACAGTATGAGCCTAAGGAGGGACAGAGAGAGAGGGAGTCACAGAATTCAAAGCAGCCTCCAGGCTCTGAGCTGTCAGCACAGCACCCGATGCGGGGCTCGAACCCACTAACGGTGAGATCATGACCTGAGCTGAAGTTGGCTGCTTAACCGACTGAGCCACCCAGGCGCCCCAGGTGAGGAGGTTTTCAAAACCCTCCCACAACACAGCCCTTTGCTGGAGGGGCATGCTAGCCCAGCTACGGCTTGGGTCCCCAGCCTCACTCACGTGCTCAGGGTCGGCTGGTGGGACCACGGCACAGGGAGACCCTGCCCTCCCCACGTCCAATGCCAGGTGGGGCCCCGCCTGCTTGTGACTCAGGAGGACTTCAAGCCTGCCTGCCCGCTGGATTCTGAGTCAGGCTCTGGCTGCCTGGAGGGGCAGCCCCTTAGTGGCGGGGCAGTGCAGTCCTCCAGGCCACGTGGGAAGGTACAGAGGGAGGGTGGGGAGAAAGGTGAGTCCCAGAGTGGGCAGATGGGGAAGTCGAGGATGACCCTGGGACAGATGTTCTATCCAGCCTGGATCCTAGCCACCTGTCCCTCTACTCATAGCTACAGACAAGGGCTCCAGCCCCTCCCCTTCCCCAGCACCCCCCTCCCCCACGGCCTCGGCCCCTCCCCTCAGGCCCTTTGTCTAGAGGGAGACAGTGTGACTTGGTGGTGGCTAGGAGCACTGGCTTCGGAATCAGATGTTCCTGGTGTAGGACCGGCTCTGGCCCTCACCAGCTGTGTGACTTTGGACCCGTCCCCTCACTGGTGAAAGAAGAGTATCCCTTTTCCGTGTGAGAGGGGAGACTGGCTGGCAGGTAAGGCCCAGCATAAATGCCCACTGGTTGGAAAGCTGGTCGCCAGGGGCAACGTCCACGCCAGCTGCCATCCATCCCTCCAGGTGGTGCGCCCTTCCCCAGCCTGTCACCTCCAGGGCACCGACACCCGCTTCCACTCGCCCACTCACCCCCCGCAGGACCCCTCCTGACCTGACGTGGAGGGCAACCTGCCACGAAGCTCTTGGGAGACAGTACTTTGCAAATGCCTGCGGAGGTGACAGTGTCGTGCACACTCTCTAGGGATCTACTACGCACGGCCCTCCACGTGTACCGTCTCTGACCCGCACAACCTTGGGAAGTTGGCACTATTCCCATTTTCCTGATGACAACAGAGCAGGGGAGTGACTCGCCCAGGGTAATGCATTGGACGGCTGGCTAACACACAGAAAGACCCGGCTCCAGAGGTCAGGCTCTGTCCCTGGTCACGTGCCTCTCCTGAGGTCACCAACTCTCTAGCCCCTGGTGCCTGGAGTGGGCAGGAAAGTCCCATTCCAGGCCCTGTGGCTGGGGGGTTGGTCCTGTGGCTTGTAACTGTCACAACCCTCCCCCCTACTGTGCGATGTCATCCTGGAGACTTGTCTACACCTTCTGTTGTGTTCTTTGAACCCCCAGGCAGGGTCACTCTGACCAGTAAGTGCCTAATCTTATCTGTTGAGCTGTCCTCAGCCAGAATGGCAGGGTCAGGCCTGAGCTAGACTAGGGCAGAGGTGACTCTGGCTTCGATCTGCACTCATGGGGCTCACAGACAGACAGGTGGATCAGTAGAAGACAGGAGAACATAGGTCATGGAAAGAGTCAGGGGGTTCACACCCATGGGAGTCCCTGTGTGGACCAGGAGGGACTCAGCTGGTTCTGGAAGGCAGGGCTGGTGCTCTCTGCCCCCTCCTCTCCCCACTCTTCCGTGGGACCCCTGCGCTTTGGAATGGTTGCCGATCTAAATGTCAGCCAGGAATGAGCAGAGGCTGGTGCCCAGCCTGGACTTCCTCTGCCTCAGGAGCTTTCTCTACTCTGCTCCCCTGCCCCAAGGCTGAGCCACAGCCAGACGAGGGTCACCGAGGCCCCTTCAAATCCCAGCCTGCGCTCCGCTCTTTGGGGGACTCCAAGTCTTCTAGCTGCTGGCTCCCATAGCTTGGAGGGCTGCCAGGAGGAGGAGTTTAGGGGCAGGGGCGGATGGCTGGTCTGGCAGGCAGAGTACTGGCAGCGGTGAAGAGTGTTCTGGTCAGGGGTGGGGAGAACTGGCCTCCCGACTTGCCACGGCTGGGCTCCCCAAGGCAAGACTGCCTCTCTGGCTTCACTTTTCCCACCTGCAAAACGAGGCCTTTCCAGCACTTGGACCTTGTGGTTCTCCTAAAAGAAGAGATCTTTCTCGGGCCTGGAGGCAGAGGGGTCCCCAAACAGATGAGGATAGGTCAGGTCCACCCCCCCCACACGGTGGCAAGCATGCCCTCCCTTCTCCTGGCCAGCTCCAGCCTGTCCTTCAAAACACACATTCCATTCCACCAACTTCCAGATGCCCATTTCCATATCGCAACCTCTCTGGAATCAGGATGAGCCTGGCCGTCAGGACGTCTCAGGGCCCGAGATACTCCTCCCAGCCAGTCTCCTGGACCCGGGCCGGCCTGGCCCGCCGTGGGCACTCTCCCCGCTAGGCCATAATTGTCGGGTTCCCATGCGCAGCGTCTGGGGGCCCAGAAACTTGTCCAAAACAACTTAAAAATGTGACTGGCCAGCGGAGGTGACGTCAGCGCCATAAACCACAAAGCAAGAGTTGGCTCGTTGCTGCCACAGTGGAAGGGAAGGTCTGACACGGTTACCAGGCCCGGCCTCTCCTGCCTCCCCCATCGGACTCCCCAGGGGACTGGGCTGAGAGGTGGCGCAGTGACTGGGCCCAGCCCCTGTCCTGGTGCCTGTGAGTCCGGACGCCGGTCAACGAGCACGCTAGTTGACTGATGGCCAATGTGCCTGGCGCGTCCAGCACATGCCAGGCACACACGGGCTGTCTCTGGCCTTACCCTAATTCCGCCTCACCAGCACTCCCTATGAGATTGTGCGAGGAAACAGAGGCTCAGAGAGGCTAAGCAAGTTACTGAGGGCCACACGGTTTGTTAGAGAACAGCTGAGGTGCCAAACAAGCTGTCCGACCTGAGTCTGGTATGTTCTGACTCTCCGAGACAGAGCCCACGGGATGTCCATTGTACAGGCAAGAGTTGGTAGGGAAGAGATGACATTTGCCGACTTTCAGTGAGTCCTTCCGGTTGCAGGCTCAGAGCTGAGCCCTTGACCTGTACTAAGTCACTCTTCACAGTGACCCTGGAAGGTGGGCACCATCCTTATTCCTCTGATGTGCTTGAGAAAACAGGCACAGAGAGGGTAGGGGACTAGCCCAAGGGCGCACAGCTTTAAGTGGCCAAGTCATAATTCGAACCCAGGCAAGCGTGGCTCCAGGGTCCTCGGTCCCTCTGGGCCACGCCGTGCTACCCAGTGCTCTCTTAGGATCTGCTGGGTACCCAGGTTGCCCAAGTCTGTCCCAGTGACACCTCTCCCAGGCAGGTGCCGTTCTTGCCACTTTACAGACGATACCACGGAGGCCCTCACTGCGGACGGCGGAGCGAGAGATGCCTCTGCGCTCACACTCTGCCGGGAGACCCCTCGGGAGGCCGGGGTTGGGGGGGCCGCAGCGGGCGCGTTGGGGGCTGGCACTCACCTCCGGGAAGGCCCCCTCAGCGAAGACCATCAGCAGCGACGTCTTCCCGCAGCCGCCGTCGCCCACCAGCACCACCTTGACCGACCGCGCGCCCGGCGGCGCCTCGGCGTCCGCGGGCTGCGCGGCCTTCATCGCGGGCCGGCGGGGCCTGGGCGCGCGGCGCGCGGGAGGCCGGCGGGGCAGGAATGTGGAAGGGGCGGGGCGGTGGGAGGAAGTGCGCGCCGCGCGGCCGGGGGCGGGGGCGCGGGGCCAGGTGAGAGCCCGGAGGCGGGGCGTGCGCGCGGGCCGGAGGGCGGGTGGTGCCGGGGCCGCACGGTAGGGGGGGGTGGGGGGGCCCCAGGCCCCAGTCTGCCTCCGTCCTCGGGAGGGCACCCGGGGCTGATGCGGAGCAGACAAGCAGCTGGACAGTGTGTGGGTGGGGGGCGTGCGGACAGGGAAAGACCCACTCGCCCTGGGAGGAAAGCCGTGGGGGTCAGCCGGGTGTGCCTACCAGCTTAGCAGGGACGGGAGCTGGGTCCCTGGTGCCCAGCACAGGTGGGGCACCGAACAGGAGCCAGTGACTTTGTCTGAATGAATGAGTGAACGAATGAATGAATGGATGGATGGATGGATGTGCATTTCCCCCAGGGCTCTGGAATCAGAGCACACCACGATCTTTCCTCTAGATATTTAAGGCCAGGTGGGAAGAGGGTGAGCCGGCCATGCCCTAATGGGTCAGTTGCTGGCGCTGCCAGGCCGGCCTGCCCTGCCTTAGCCAGCACCAGGAAGTTTCAATGTGGGTGGCTGACCACCTGTCTCACTTCTGGCTGTGACACAATCTAAGGAAAGCGAGGGAACCTTCCATCTATAAACTGCTTAGAGCAGGGTCTGGTGCATGTTGGTGCCATGTGTGAGTGATCGCTGTTAACCACCACTGATGCCCAAGGGCCCCTGAACTGTTCAAGATGAAGTCCCTATCCTGAAGCCCATGCCTAGGATGGGAGACAGGGAGGGCGTTGGTGTGATACGAGCTTCAACAGAGGTAGGGACAGGAACAGGGCAGAGGGGCTCCTTACCCAGGTGGCGGTGGGGGCCAGGAAACCCTTCTGAGAAGAGGGGCTGGAGTGTTGAGGGGGAGGGAGAAAGGTGCTCCAAACAGAGGGAGCAGCACATGCATAGGATGGAGACAAGCGAGAGGGGGCACTTTGAGGGGTCTGTAGTCCTTCTCTGTGATGGAAGGTGAGGTGGGGCTAGGCAGCTGGTGCCAGGAGAGGCTGAGGTTCAAACAGGGAGCACTTGGAAGCTGGGAATAAATACAGAACTGAAGTGGAAACTCACTGTCCCTGGACTGCCCACCCCTGTTAGTAGCCAGAATTGAGATCTTTGGAAAATGGGCACAAGGGTGTCCCCAGATCCTGGACTGACTGTTTTCAGCAAAGCTCAAAGGAAGAGAGGGTAGAAGTGTCTGGGTTTCACACACCCTTCCCCATGCAGGTCATGACGTCATCCCTTGTGGCTTTCAAAGCTGGGCAGGTGGAAAAGCAACCTCACTGTGGACCGAAGAGGCAGCTGGGGCAGGAGCCACTGTCTTCATTGCACAGAGGTAGAGCCCAGACCCCTGACCCCTATTCCAAGCTCACCCAGGGCCACAGTCAGCAGGCTGAATGGAGCGTCACCTGGATGGAGGGAGCATCTCATGACATCCCCACCCTTTAGGTGCCCTTTCCTCCCCGAAACTGCCAAAGGGCTGAGCAGTGACTTGGCGCAGAGCTGGGTGTGTAGCCACGGAGCAGGGCTCCCCGCCCCAAGGAGTGGTTGGGGAGGTGTCCCGTCCCCCAACGATCAGCCTTCAGCCTTGTCCCCACCGATGCTGTCATCAGGCTTTGGGTGGCAAGGCTAGGAGGCAGGTGGGGCCAGACTGAGGGTGGAGAGAGCTGAGAGTCAGGCAGAGGCGTTTGGCCTTGGTTGCTATAGGGATAATCATTCTAATGACATCCTTGATGTATGTCATGCCTTACAGTTTCACTGAGCATTTCCTAATAATAACAGCTCCCATTAATGGATCGCTAACCGGTGTAGGCGTTGTCCCCTCGCAGGTGGGAATCAGCCCCATTTTACAGATGAGAAACCTGGAGGCTGGAGAGATTAAGTTCTCGTCGGAGATCCATAGCTAGTAAGAGCCAGAACTTGAATTTGAACCCAAGTCCGGGCACACAGCAGGGCTCCCTCCCAACATCACACCACATATGCATTATTTCATTCAGCAGGCTGACTGTGAGGTGGGCAGAGCCAGTGATCCGCTTCCTTCATTCTACAGATTTGGGAACGGAGGCTCAGAGAAAGGCAGTGGCTTGTCTCAGGCTAGCTAGACACAGAGTCAGGATTTGAACCCAGCTCGCCTGATGTGAAGCCCCAGCCTTACCTCCACTTTATGCTCATGCTTCTGTGGAGGGAGCTTAGTTACCGGGTGGGGGAATCTGCTCTGGTTGGCCAGGGATTTCCCTGAATCTCAGACATTGCTGGGCCCTGGACGCCACGGTTTTGCTGGGGCTTATTTTGGGCATGGCCCAGGTCGCCATCTGCCTGGCCAGGGTACTGTTCCCTATTTTACTGTTTTCAGTGGTGGGGGGGAGCTATCCCCGAAGGCCTGTCGATGTCTCTGTCCCTTGAGGCCCCACCAGTCCCAAGCCCAGAGCTCTTCGGCCACTCTGCATAGTGGGCAACTGCCTTGCAGACCTCAGGACATCAGAGGTGGCCAGGCTGGCCCTCGGTCTGTCGTGGAATCCTCTCCTGGGGCCAGGCAGGATCCTCCAGCCCCCAGCCTTGAGCACCTAAAGGGCAGGGACCAAGGCCGACCTCTATAGCCCTAGACAGCAGAGCCACCCAGCTGTGGCTCAGGATGTTATGTCCAATTGACTGGTTGGATAAAGACGGGAAAGGAAGGAAAATGGGGCAGAGAAGAAAGGAAGGAAAGAAGGAAGATTGGTTGACTCCAAAGAATAGACAAACTCGGAGAAGTGAAAAAAGGAACAAATGATCGCATAGTTGAGGAAATACAGTGCATGGCCTGATTGCAGGGTCAGCATACGGGTGACCACCCCTCCAGCCTCCATCTGCTCCGGGCCCGCACCCCCGCCCAGCATCCGACCCCGTCCTCTCTGAGGCCGGGAGTTCTCTGCTGCCCCGGCGTGGCCGCTCTGCTCCCTGCACCATCCTCATGAGGGCTGCCTGCTCTGCTCGGGGTTCCTGGCTTGGGGTGTGGGGTGTTTGTGGGTGCTTAAAGAAGAGGGAAAGTGGGTGCCGGTGGGGCGTGGAACTTCAGAGGTCCAGTTATGCCACCTTGGGATGCCTTGGTGGGGTCTTTGCTGCTCCCGCCTCCCTATGTACCCTCAGCTCCCTTTTATCTGAAACACCAGGTCCCAAGAGGTCTTTTCCTTGGCCAGAGCTCTTCCTCCCAACCCCCTGACCTCACGTTTGCTGAGCATCTCCTGGGTGACATACGCTTGGCATGTGTATATTTCATTCCACCCTCTTATGTATAATTCTTACCCTCCTTTGTCAGAGGGGAAACTGAGGCCCAAAGAGGACAGATAATTTGCCCAAGATCCCACAGCTGATACGTGGAGAAGCTGGGACTCTAACCAAGGCATTTGGGGTCTTAGAGCTCCTCCACACAGAATCCCTAAAAGTCAGAGGTGTGGGGGGCCTTAGAGTCCTTCTGGTCTTAACAAGAAGGATGGGGAAACTGAGGCTCCCAACAGGAAGGGACTTGTCACAGAGCAAGTGACCATCAGGTTCAAACTGGGAGGTAGAGCTCAGAAGTGCCTCTTCTCCCAGGGTCCTTTCTGCCTGGTCTCCCCCAGATCAGCTCAACTCCAGCTCCCATTTAACTGGAGTTCAGGGCTGGTTATGCAGAACTGCCCTTGCCTCCTCTCCCCGCCTCCCCATTCTCGATCCTTCTGGGTGGAACGAGAAGGCTGATAATGGGTGACAGTGGGCAGAGAGTGAGGGGCCCTTGAGGCCCGATCTTAGTGTTTATTTAGCCTTTCCGTTTGTCCCTTTGGGTGTGTTCAGGCATAGATGGCCGGGGCAGGAGACAGGAAGTGAAGGTCTGAGCGGCAGTCGGCTGCGGATGATACGGCGGCTAACCCTGCCACTCCCGCACGCACGCAGGTGTGGCTCCGCCACAGCCGGGTCAGGTCAGTGACCTCCATACCTGTGCTCTTGGGTGTGGCTTGGCTGATCCCTGAAGGCTCCCAGATGGAGGGGGCCTGGGACACTGGAGGCAGGCCCAGAGGCCTAGGGCTGGGAGGGGAAGCGTTGGTGGTGGGGGTGGGTATAGGCAGAAAGAGACGCCAGTAGTGCGTTCTGGGCTGTGCTGAATGAACCTGAAATTGAAGAGCAGCTCAGACTGCCCTGCTCGCTGGCGTCCCTGCTCATCACTTCCAAAGCTGCTCAGAAGCCTCTTCCTCCCTCCCTCTGACCTGCTCCTCTGACCAGGTCTAGTGGTCCCCAGACACAAGCAACGCCAAGCAGTTCCCCTGCCTGGGGTCCCTCTCCCTCCTCCATGTGCACACCCCTCCCTATGTTGCAAGGCTCAGGCTTCCATCTCCTCCAGGAAGAGGGCGAGTCCATAGAAGTTCTTCACAGCCTTCCTGGTCACTCAGATCATCCTCTTGCTGATCTAGGGAGAAACGAGGGTGGCCTGGGATCCAGAGGGGCTTCTCTGCTGCCCCTCAGCCCCACCTGGAGGAGTTGGCAAAAGGGCACAGTGTAGCTTGACGGTTAAGAGCCTGAGCTTTGGAGCCAGACAGCTGGAGCCTGAAAGCCAGCTCTGAGACTTTCTGGCTGTGTGATCTTGGATTAGTTGCCTAATGTCTCTGAGCTTCAGTTTCCATTCTGCAAAAAAGGGGATGACAACAGTACCTCCCTCTAAGTAGGTAGGGTTGCAGGCTGTACCAACACTCGCTGAACTTGTAAGACCTTCCTCCCCTCTAAGCCTTCCTTTCTCCCCAGCTCCTGCAACTTTGCTCTAGCAATTGACAAATTGGCCGAGTTTTTGCCCATCCCTGTCCTTTCGTGCATGTTGTTCTCTCTTCCAGCAACGCTTTTTAGGCCCTATCCACCTTTTTCAACTTTATACTTCTTTTTGCCCTGAAGACAACTTAGCGACACCACCAGGAAGCCCTCCGTGATATCACCTGCCGCTATCCTTCCCGCCAGACCTGGCACAAGGCCCCTTCTCAGACCTTCCCGAGAAGCCTGATGGCATTGGTCCTTGTGCTGGTCTTCCCAACCAGACAGGGGCCTCCCTTCCCTCTGGGCACCCAGCATCAGGGTAATCTACTCAGAGTAACCCATACAAGTCCTGGATTCCCGGAGGAGAGACGAAGGTGATTTGGGGCTGAGCAAGGCTCCCTGGAAGCCCCCTCCTTCCTGCCCCAGCTTTATTTTGATTCTAGAATCACTCCAGTCAGCAGACTTGGTCCCCACCATGCCCATCCCGGGTACACAGTCAACATCTCATGCAGTTAGAGGGACGGAACGAGGAGGAAGAGAAGATGGGAGTAAATGGCCTGTGCTGCATAGCCACTGGGGCTTTCTAGAAAAAGAGTCTGGGCTCTCCCCGGCTCCAGCTGTGTCCCCGGACCCTGTGCTGGCCTGGGCCATGCAGACCTCTGGCACGGGTCACAGGGCTGGGCCACAGCTGGGTTTGGTGGGGAGAGCCACAGTTCTGCCTCCAGCCCACGACCACGCTGGGCTCCCACAGCATTGCCGGAGATAACTGGTTGGGACTGCGTCGCCACAGCTCATCAGGACCAGAGGCCACGGCCTGACCCGTGGGTGGCCCCCGGAGGCAGATGCCACTGCACACCACGATGCCCACCCCATCCCTACGCACCGGCAGGGGCACCCACCCCTCGGCCGCCTGCTTCTCTGGGGCTGCCTCTGGTGGACCGGAGGCACCTCAGCCAGTGACACCTGCAAGGTGTGCACGCCCTTCCTCCAGCTGGAGTGGGGTGGGAGCCAAAGCCCCGTGGGGGCAAAATAGCCCAGCCCCTTTGCTTCTGGGCAGGACCCCTCAGGGGTGCCATTCACAGAGCTCCTCCATCAGAGTGCAAGCCATCAGGCTGGAGCACGGTACTCCTAAAGCCACAGCTTACTGAGCTTCCGTCCCTACCCCCCCCCCCCCCCCCCCCCCCCCCCCCCCGCAGGCTTTCCTCTCTCCCCTGCGGTTTTCTCCACAGGGCTCCCTGCCCCCACCCCGCCCTCAATCCGGAGGCCCCTCCGCTTCCCCTCACTGCCCCCACTCAGGCAGCCCCTTTCGTCTAAGGCCCAGCTCAAGGGCCTCCTGCTACACCAGGCAAGGGCGGCCCACGGAGACCTCTCCCATGGACCCCCTGCAGTCTGCATTCTGGCCCTTCCTCTGCCCTCCAGCTCCCTAGAGGCTCAGGCATCTCTTTTCCCAACAGCGCCTGGCCTGGACACCCCACAAACGCCGTGGAGCCAAAGCCTAATTCAGTTGGGACCGAACACAGGGACCTGGCTCTGGGCCTCTTCGGCCCTTTCGGCTTTGCAAGGGTCATGGTTCAAGGGAGCAGGTTTCACAGAGCGTGATTCTGGAGCCAGCGTCCGCTGCACCCTGCTGGCCTCTGCCTGGCTGGGTCTCCTGGTCACTTCTCTTGCGCAGAGAAAGGCCCTTGTGTCCACTGCAGTAGGACAGTTCGTGATGGGGAAGTTCATGTCCCTGCCTTGCTCAGGCCGGCTGCCTGCGTGGGACACACTTAGTTCTTGCCCTGCCCCTCAGGGCTCGGCTCCCATCTCATCCTGGCAGACCCCAGAGCCCTCCCAAGTCCACATTCGGCACCGCGCGGATCCCCGGGGGGGGGGGGGCGGCGGGGAGGAGGTCCTGCCTTCCGGACATCCTAGGGGCTGTGTCCTGTTCCTGTCACACCTGCTGGTCCCCAGCCCAGCGCCTGGCCCCCAGGACTCACTCCGTTCCTGTATGTGGCCGAGCTTGGCACTGGCCTCCCAGCAGCCTGTGAGGGGGTCTCAAAATGGGGGCACAAAGGGCCAGTGCCAGGCTGCCCGTTCCTGGGTCATGGCCCAGCCACAGTGGGTCCTCAGTGGGAGAAAATCCTGGGTCCCTCGACACCCGGCCAGGCCCGCTCCTCCACTGCAGTCTGGACAGACGGACCAAGACGGCTCACAGGGGCTCCAGTGGGGGACCCCAGCATTTACGGCTCCCGCTGGACTACAGAGGGGCATCGGAGCGGAGCTCGCGCCGGGCCCCAGGCAGCTCAGTGCCCACCCTGGCCCGTCTGCCAGCTGCTAGTTTCGCCGAACGGGGTGCCACATGGACACAGGCCTGCGCAGTGTGGCCAGCATCTGGTTCCAGTGCGTGGTGCCCATGCCACTGGCTGATGGCCCGATGATGACGTGGCCCACGTTGTCCCCTCGGCCATCGCTGCTGCTCTCAGCCACCGTCACACGGAGAGACAGGTCCTGGAGAGGAAGCGACATGGGTGCTGGGGACCAGGGGCAGTCCTGGAGCCCCTCCGTGGCTCCTAGGACCCTGTCTCCAGGCACCAGGCCCCCATGGGGTGCCAGGAGTGGCTCCCTGAACCCGCACCCCTGATCTGCCTACACCCACAGGCTTCTGCTGCTGCCTCCTGACACGGTGGCGGCTCTGGACTGCTGGCCTCGCCACCTCCCTTGCTCTGTGACCTCGGGCTCTTCCTACCTTAGCGCCCCCATCTGGAGGATGGTAATAATCACAGCTCCTACTCGTAAAGGGAACAAAATGAGTTAAAATGTGCGAACTGCTTAGAATAGTGGCTGCACAGAGCATTTTAGGTGTCTGGTTATTCCTAATAGAATCATATGCGGGACTCACAGCCGAGGAAGGAAAAGAATGTGCTTGGGCTCCAAGTGGAGAGGTTGCAACCCAAACCCAGGCTGACTTCCCTCCTCCTTTTCCTCGCCCGCCCACCCCTCGCCCTCCCCCTCCCCCTCCCCCCGACCCCAAGAGGTCTCCCACCCTCGGAGGCTGTGGGGCAGTGGCGCTACACCCACTCCAGGGGAAGTAGGGGACAGACGGACAGTGGGTCCCATGAGGGTGGAGGACAAGGCAAGGACACTCGGCACCAACTGGAGTCACGGGGATGTTTGCCTGCACTGGGGACCCTCAGAGTGAGGCAGGTCTGGGCTTTCCAGTCCAGATGGTGTGTCAGATTGGGTGGGTTCTGTGCAGCCCCGAGACTTCGGGGCAGGTTTTGGCTCAGGGCACAAAAGAACCTTCTCCCTGGCGGGAGTGCCGCAGGATGGAAAGAGGTGGTGAGGGGAGGTGGTAAGCTCCCCATCCTCCGAGGCACGCGAGCGGGGCCACTGGCGCGGCACAGGCCATATCCTCAGTAACCCCCCACCCTTGGTCTGTGATAGATGCGCCAGGGGAGGGGTTTCCCCGGGGCACATGACCTTCTGAAAGCCACGGAGGTGCGGGGAGCTCAGCAGGGTCTTTGCAGGTAGAGGCCAGAGACTTCGGGCCAGAACTGTGGGCCCCTGGGTTCCCCTGGCTCATCTCCAGGCCTTTGCAGCTCCTTCCACTGGGAACCGTCTTCCCCCAGATCTCGGCTTAGCTGACCCCTCTTGTAAAAGCCTCCCCTGACCACCAGAGTTGGACATGCTCTTAGTGGATTTGGATCGTCTGGAGAGGCACCTGCATGGCTCAGTCAGTTACGCATCTGACTTCGGCTCAGGTCATGCATGATCTCATAGTTCGTGGGTTCGAGTCCTGCATCGGGTGAACTTGAGCCCCGCTTCAGGTGAGCCCTGCTTCCCCCTCTCTGTCGTTCTGCTCTTCATGGGATTCTCTCTCTCTCCCCCTCTCTCTGCCCTCATTCACTTGTGCGCATGCGCTCTCTCTCTCTCTCGCAAAAAATTTAAAAAAAGATTGCCTGGGGATTTTCCGGCTGCCCCTTGTGAGCTACAAGGAGCCAGTGGCTGTGTCTCCCGCACTCACCACAGGGCGGGTGCCGAGTGGGTGCTCCACAAATGCCTCTCAACCAGAAAGGGGAGGGCTTGAGGCAAACCCTTAGCGCCTGTGGGAACCCTGGGACACGGGGCCGGAGGGCCTGGAGTGGCCCCAGAGCGCAGGCGTGACCTGGCCCGGCCCCCACCCCGAGCCACCCCCTCACCTGGAGCACGATGGCGGGCACCGAGAAGATCATGGCTTCATTGAACACTGGGTTGGGGTCGTCCCTCTTCACGGCCGTCTTCTTCTTGCTCATCTTCCTCCCATCCTGAAGCAAGTACACTTTGACGAAGGGGTCTGTGGGCGAGCAAGGGGTGGGGGTCAGGGCCAGTGCCACATTCGCTTGGCATCGCCCTGCCCGGTCGTCGTGGCCGGCTGGCTCCAAATTCCCCCCAAGCCTTCGCTGTCGCCATCATCTCCTGCAGTCCTGCCATTGGGTCTTTATTTCTTTCCTATTTTACAGATGAGAAAACTGAGGCATCCTACACGAGTCGGGAGAAGAGCCAGGCCTTGGGCTCAGGCAGCCTGCCTCCCAGCCCACGCCAGTGCTCCCCTCACGTGACGCCGTGGGGAGTGGGCAGGCCCACCACGTCTCATTCTATAATGAGCACAGACGTCAGGCCTGAGTCACCCTGCGCCCGCTGCGCAGAGCCTGACGCTGAAATAACAAGTCACTCTCCGCTCGTCACCCTCCGCCCACCGGGTGTCCTTGCCGTACCTGCCTGGACCAGGGCTCCCCCGAGGCTCCCGGCTCGGCCAAAGCTGGGGTTTAGGGGCCCGGTGCTGCGCCCCACACCTGCGGATGCCTCCCGCTGCCCCCGCCTCGCGGCTGGGCCACGTGCCCAGCCAGCCAGCAGGGCCTCACCTGCCGTGGTCTTGTCGTTGGTCCAGATGAGGTTCTTGGCCTTCACCACCACCACAGTGAGGCGCTCGGCCGTAGGGAGGTAGCTGAGGGACAGCAAGATCTCACCCACGGCGTCGGCAGCCTGCAGGACATGTGACAGGCTCAGAGGGCTTTGCCCGGCCCCCCCCCCCCGGGACTTGAGGGGACCAAGGAAAGATGGGAGCTTCCTTCTCCACTGAGAAGTTGCTGCTCTTGCCCTTACACGAGGCACCAGGCTGGTGGGGTCGAGAAAGGGACCCCACTCCCCACTCCACGAGGCATGCGCCATCCCTGCCCCCCACCAGGCGTGGGTCCGGCCTTGGAAGGAGGGCCAGAGGCTGCCTGTCGCCGCCGGAGCCAGTTAGTGTCCCTCATTCCAGCCCAGGGAAAACATTGTGGGGTAGTAGCTCACAGAGGTCCAAGTGGACCCGGATTAGTATATCGTTTGCTTAAATAGCAATGACGGGGGGCGCCTGGGGGGCTCAGTCGTTAAGCATCCGACTTCGGCTCAGGTCGTGATCTCATGGTGTGTGGGTTCGGGCCCCACGTCAGGCTCTGTGCTGACAGCTAGCTCAGAGCCTGTTTCAGAGTCTGTGTCTCCCCCTCTCTCTGACCCTCCCCTGCTCACGCTGTCTCTCTCTCAGAAATAAATAAAACATTAAAAAAAAAAAAAAAGCAATGACAGAAGAGTGGGAAACAGTAAAGAGGGCATTTTCGCTTCATGCAGTAAACCGTTTCCTTGAAGGTGGCTCAGGCCTCACTGTTTGCCGCTTCCTAAAGAAGTCAGGGTTCGGGCTGTCGTGGGGCAAAGAGGACTCCCTGCTCCGAGAGGGGGCGCCTGGGACGCTCTCTTCGCGGGTGGACTGACCTTTTTCTGGTCCTGTAGGTAGAGCCAGCCACTGAAGGGCTGTAGTGGGAGGTCGAGGACGGACAGCTTCAGCTCGACCACCCCCGTGCTGACGTTCCGTTCATCCTCGTCGATGCCAAACACTGAAAACCGCAGGCTCTTCTCCTCCAGGGCTGCGGGGTCCAGGGGGATGGAGAACTTCTCATCAAAGAAGATGGAGTAGGCGTTCCTCTGGGTCTGTGGGGAGAAAGGGACGTGGGGGAGCTTCAGCTCTGGGGAGGAGGCCGCAGCCAGACGCCCACGAGGCTGTGGCGGGAAGAGAGCACTGGACAGAGAGTCCAGAGGCTGGGGCAAGAGTCCCAGCTCTGCTGTCCCCACAACCTCAATGCCAATTCATCCTTTGGCGGCTCAGCCCTGGGGACTTTGTTGTTTTTTTTTTTTTAAGTAGGCTCCAGGCCCCAATGTGGGGCTTAAACCCACAGCTCTGAGGTTTAAGAGTCACATGCTCCAGTGACTGAGCCAGCCAGGCCCCCCAGTCCTGGGGATTTAAAAGCACCCCTGTCCTCTTCTCAGTGGCAGCCTGGCATTCAAAGCTTCTACAATCTGACACCAGCTAATTCCCACTCTCAGTGCCCATGGCTCCACAGAACCCTCGAAATGCCCTTCTTCCTTGTGCGTCTTCAGGGCCAGCCCTGGGCCAGGCGTGCAGTAAGTGCGTGTGACCGTGCAGTCAAGAGCCATGGATGTCTCAGCCCCCGCAGAGCCTGGCCCAGGATGGTCTCAACGTGGTGGGATGGACGGACGGATGCAGTGACGAGGCAAGGCTGGGCAGACTCTGTTTCCAAGCCCAGTCCTGCCTGGTGGGCGCCTCTGGCCTCCTCGCAGGAAGCTGTGGGCAGATGGCCCAGGAAGGTGCACTGGCGGGCATGGCTCCCCCTTCCCATTGGGGGCTGCCTTAGTCACTGCCTGGCAGTATTTAGAGAGGAACACTCGTCTCTGGCCCTTCGCCCGAAGCTGGGGGGCTGCCCAGCCTAGGGGCAGCCACCTACTTGCTGGGATGAGCGGGGCTGCGATGCTAAGGAGCATGCCTTCCCGGGAACAGATCTGCCAGCATCCCCCAGGCGCACTGCGGCACACTCTTTGGTCACTGCCTGGCTTGTGGGAAGGTTCCTCTTCCCCTGCTCCCTGGGAGCCACATTCCCCAACCAAGCCTCTGACTGAGGATCTTCAAGGGCTCCTTTCCCAGTGGGATAAAGTCTACCTCCTGATCTTGACCTTGACATTCAGGCTCTTCATGGTCTTTCCCCAACTCTCCCTCCTCCTGCCAAATGAGCCACTTTGCTGTGCCTTGTCCACAGGGGCGAGGGTTCCCTGACTGTCCATTCTCTGTGTGTTATGTTCTAGGGGTGGTGGAAAATGGGGACCCCCGGGCCAAGTCCTGGGGATGTGCTGGGCAAAGTGCTCTCCTTCCTGAACGTCAGTGTCCTCGTCTGTAAGATGCCCTCGGTCCATTCCACTGGGGCTAATGAGAGAATCACGGATGCGTGGGGTTTGTGAGCCAGATTCTCAGCACACATCGCGGAGTAGTAGCTCTTGTCTACTAATGTCCCTTCTCACGGAAGGTGTCCAGAAGCACCCAGGATCTTCTAGGCAGTCCAGGCCCTAGGCAGCATGGATCCAGGCCCAACAGGGATACGTCATGTCCTGATACACAGTTCTGAGCACTTCCCAGGGACTGGGCTGAGGGCTTCGCATATAGTACACCCCATCGTCAAGAATTACGTTGCCCATTTGACAGTTGGGGAAACTGGGTCCCAGAGAGCTTATGTGACTTATCCACGGTCACACTGCTAAGAAGGGGGAAACTGAGGTTTTAGGGTCCTGCTCCCTACCACTCAGCGACTGCTTCTCTTGGGCCCCACATGCACAGGGTTGTGGTCAGCTGTTGACCATCCCGGAGTGAGGGGGGCAGGGCGGGCTGGGAGAGGGGGATGACGGTGGCCGCTGCTGAGGGACAGCCCACTTCATCACGGTAAGAGCGACTGGACACAGGTGACTCTTCAGAAACCCTGGCTTTGGTTAGAGGCCACTGGGTGTCAACCCTGCTCACCTCAGAGGCCTCCCAACCATGGCACCTGGGCCCCTGCTCCCCCTGATCCAGCCTGGGGTACAGCGTCTCCCATGAAGGCTTTGCTCCCTCCCTCGGCAAGGGAGGGAGGACCCACGGAGGGGTAGCCTGGTGTGGGAGGGTGCTGGGTGCCTTCCCTTGCCCTCCCCCCTGCTCTGGCCCCAGGAGCTGACCTCAACAGGCTCCTTTAGCTTCCGGCTTCCGGTGCGGTCAGACATGGGAGCCACTCCAGGGGAGCCAGGGGATGGAGGGAGCTGGGGCTGCTCGTTCCCTAGGTCCTTCCCTGCAGTACTGCTGTGCTCTCACCATGTCCCCTGACTGAAGGGCGCAGTGCCTCGCAAGGTGGCAGCGCCGCCACACGCCTCTCTGCTTTCGCCTCCCCTTCCCCTCACTCCTTCAGAAGAGGGTGCCTCTCCATCTCTGAGGTCACCCCACGCCCCACCCACACCCCTGTTAACAGTCCTGTTACTAAGCTCTCCCCACCTTAGCCAACTTGAGCATGTCACCCCTTTCCTACCAGGACCCCAAGCTGCCCCAGGGGACAGGAATGGAAACGGACGATCACCACCCACTGGATACATGTGGTAGGATTGCCGAGAGCCGCGCGCAGCGGGAGTCCTCGGGCTAGTGACACCTTCGGCTCTGGGACTAGCACCCAAAGCGGCTCTGTAGCACCCGGCCTGGCACCGCGGACCTGTCGGCCCTGGGCGGGCGGGGGGGGGCTCCCCGAGAGCCCAGCGCATGCCCCCGGCCCCGCCCCCACTTACCCGGGAAATGCCCACGATCTGCTCATCGGGCAGCAGGCTGACGCGCATGAAGCAGGACTCGAAGCTGGCTTCCTCGCGCTCCAGCACGTCCTTGCCCTGCAGCACGGCCACGTGGAGGGTGTGCGAGGCGGCATCGTAGTCCATGCTCACTTCCACCTGGCCCAGCGTGAAGTCCTGCCCGAAGGTGTTGCTCACCGAGGAGATGGAGTTCAGGGAGTCAGCCGACTGGGACTTGCGGAGCGTCCCGTAGGGGGCCAGGTCCAGCTCCCGGCCCATCAGCTCCAGGGGCCCCAGCTCGCTGATGCTCTCAAAGGTGTCCTCGATGCTGAGGCTGCCTTTGCGACTGGGCGGCCCCCGAGTGCTGGCCCGCTGGGCATTCCCGGCAGGCGCTCTCTGGGGGACAGAGAACGGGACATGGGAGCATCACAAAGGCAATAGGCGTGGTCTTGTAAGCCCTGTTCGTTCAAGGCCATTGCTGTTCCCTGTTTGTAGAAACGGTGCGTGCCTTGGTCAGGAAGGTCTTTGTTTAATGCTGTTTCACATCACTCAGGTTTCTCTCCCTAGCCATGAGGAAAGAAAGCTTTTTCTCAAAATGTTTAGTGATACGGACTGAGTTCCACACATAAACGTGTTCACTGCAGTGACGTCTATAAAAGGAAAAGTAGTAGGGGCGCCTGGGTGGCTCAGTCGGTTACGCGTCCTACTTCGGCTCGGGTCATGATCTCACAGTTCGTGAGTTCAAGGCCCGCGTCAGGCTCTGTGCTGTGAGAGCCTGCTACGGATTCTGTCTCCTTCTCTCTCTGCCCCTCCCCCACTGGCACGCTGTCTCTTTCTCTCAAAAATAAATAAAAATTTAAAAAAATTTTAAAGGAAAAGTAGTTAGCAGGGGGGATGGGTAAGAATAACTAGACTATCACTACTCAACAGATGATAGAGCAGCCTCCGAGGATGTTTACCAAAATGTTCACAACGGGAAGTTTTTCGTGTTGGGTAACACTCGCTGTAACATTCCAATTTTTCCTTTCCCTAAGCTGACCTCGGGATTTGAGAAAACAAAAGCCTTTGTACCGCAAGCATCTCCCATGCTGTTGCATAGCCCTCATTACCATCATTTAAGAAACATTTTTAAATGTTTATTTATTTTTGAGAGAGAGAGACAGAACATGAGCAGAGGAGAGGCAGAGAGAGAGGGAGACACAGAATCTGAAGTGGGCTCCAGGGTCTGAGCTGGAGCAGGGCTTGAACCCACGAACTGCGAGATCATGACTGGAGGTGAAGTCTGATGCTTAACCAACTGAGCCACCCAGGCGCCCCATCACAGGAAGGTTTTTAAAATTGAAAACTTTCAGTCCCCCACCGAGTAGTCACTGATTTCGCAGCCCTGGGCTATGTTGGAGATGTGGAGGGAGGGCCAGGGTCCCTGTCCACAGGAGGAAGGAAATTAACCAGGAGAGAGCAAGGGAGCGGGGAGGGCGGGGAGGCCACCCCGGGGACGGACGCCTCACCTTCTGCTTGGCCTCTGCGTAGGTCTCGCCATACTTCTGCTGAAGATACCTATAGTCGTAGTTTGGGAACGGGGAGGGGCTGGGGAAGCTCCCCGATGTCCAGAGCTTCCACAGGCTCACAGCTGCAATTCCCAGCAGCGCCAGGGCCCCAGCGGTGTAGACACCCACCTCCCAGCCAGGAGGGCTCTTGATGACTGCAAGGCAAAAGCAGCCTCTCATTAGTAGGCTCTGGGGTCCCCCAGTGGTTACAGACTCCCACCCAAGAAGCAGGCAGTTCAGTGCTGACTTATTTATTCACTGAACACATATTTATTGAGTGACAGCTATGTGCCAGGCTCAGTACTAGGTGCTAGGGGATTCAGTGTTGAATAAGACATATATGCTCTGTGATTTCTGCTTCTATCCCCTTTTCTACAGAAGCATACATTTCTACCAGGGGTGGGATGGGGGTGAGGACACTTGGCTAGACTGGATGAAGGAAGAGTTGTGAATAATGGGTAAACATTCCCTGGGGTTCCTCTTGCCTCTTTTGAGTTCTCTGAACTCACAGCCTTCCAGATAATCAAAGCAGCCTTATGGGGTTTGGGGGAAGAGGGAAGGGGTTTGGGGAGAAAAAGAAATGACCCCACTTGGCTTCAACCTCATCTGGAACAACCCAATGTCCAGCAACTGATGGATGGATATAATGTAGTCCATCCACACAATGGAATATACTTTGGCAACATAAAAGTACTGATATACATTGCAATGTGGACGAACCTTGAAAACATGCAAAGTGAAAGGCATCACAAAAACCCACATGTTGTATGATTCTATGGTTTAAAGTTAAAAATTTTTTAATGTTTTTATTTATTTTTGAGAGAGAGAGAGAGAGAGAGAGAGAGACTGAGCACGGATGGGGGAGGGGCAGAGAGAGACACACACACAGAACCCGAAGCAGGCTCCAGGCTGTCAGCACAGAGCCTGATGTGCAGCTCAAACTTGTGAACCAGGAGATCGTGACGTGAGCCAAAGTCAGACGCTTAACCCACTGAGCCACCCAGGCGCCCCATGTATGATTCTATTTATTTGAAATGTCAAGACAAATCTATACAGACAGAAAGTTGATTAGTCGTTGTCTGGGGCTGGGGGAATCGGTGGGGGCATGTGAAGACAGGATTGCTTTGGAGGATGACGAATATATTCTAAAAGTTAACAGTGCTGATGGGTACACAAGATGTTAAGTGCTGATGGGTACACAAGATGTTAAGTGCACTGAATTGTATGCCTCAAGTGGGTAAACTGTATGGTCTGCGATTTTTTGCTACCAAAAAAAAAAAAAAAAAAAATCTCAGCCAGAAGTGAGAGACAGAGGTGGCTTTCAGGCTGTGCAGGACTTGGGGACAAATCTGAATGCTCAAAAGTGCTTTCTTCACTGATAAGTAAATAACTTTCCCTATCAGAGCCTCACTGTCCCCAGACATAGTCATTAACTGCCCCCTCCAGTGTGTTGGGTGAGCCCCCACCCCACTGGCAGAAGTGACCTTCTGTTGGCAAATAGAATGTTCTAAACCATTCTCAGTGCTGCCTCTATACTCAATTCAAATGGAGAAACAGGTGTACAAAGATACAGAATGTGCCCAAGGTCAAAGAGGCAGGAGGGACTGGCGCTGGGAGTCCGGCTGTGGCAGGCAGACTTCTGAGCAGGCAGGAGTAACCATGGACCCACCCAGCCTCAACCCGGCACAGTCCTCAGAAGCAGGGTGGAAAGGGGCAGGGAGGGCACTTCAGGCAGGGGTGAGGACTGATCACTGCCCATCCACTGAACACCTATGGTGTGCAAGCACCCTGGTGAGGGAGTCAGCCCCAAGCCCAGTCCCCATCCTTAAGCAGCTCACAGCCTAGGGGTGAGGTAGGTAGGCAAATAAATGGACTAAAGAGTGATGAGAACAGCCCGGGAGGGCTTCCTGGAGGAGGGACATCTGAGCTGAGATACGAAGGAGGAGCAAGAAATGTACCAGGCCAAGGCGCCAGGGACTAGGAGTTTAGTGCAAGCAGAGGAGCGGATGTACAAGGCCCAGAGCATTCAGAGTGTCCAGTGGGGGGAGAGAGAGTGGGCCATCTGGGGCCGCGGAGCTCCTCACCACCACGCCCCTGAAGCACAGCAGTGGCAGCCCCTCTGGAAGGGGGAGGCTTCGCCCTGCCCCTGTTCTCTGAGCCCAGCCAACTTCAGCCAGAATCCGCAACGCTAACTCACTCTGGAGAAGGGCAGGGCCCAGGCCGCGGCCTTGGCGTTTATCATGTGCGTAGCCCCTATGATTTCCCTACCTCCCCTTGCTGGCGTAGGATGGGCGGAGGCCAGGAGACGCTAGTGAGCACGCCCCACCATTGGCCCAAGGCCACAGGGTAAGAAATGCAGAGCCTGGCTGCGGATGCCCTGGCTCCTGGGCAAGCCACCTAGCCAGTCTGAACTTGAGCTTCCTCACCTGGAGAATGGAGATGACCATGCACCCGGAGCAGCGGTCCCACCCTGGGGAATTTATCTTTCGGAAAAAAATCCCAGCAAGTTTTATGTCTGGGGTGAGTCATCGAGGCTGTATTTATAACAGCAGAAATGTGGAAACAGCCTGAAGGTCCAGCTGAGGGGCCAGTGGGGGCTGGTGGTGCTGGCGTGGGAGGGACTATCACTGGCCTTTGAGAAGTGAGGTCATTAGGATGTCACTGTGGCACAGCAGATAAACGTTTCCGGCATCATTAAAAGAAAAAGAAAAAAAATCAATCCACGGCATGGTCTAACCGCAGAATTTTGATATAAAAATCACATGGCCTGTGGATAAAGGCTGGGCAGGACCAGAGAGACAAATGAGAGAAGCTAGAAATCAGGATGGAGGGGCTGTGAGTGGGCCCTGTTTACTCCTGACTTCTTGACAGAATGCAATTTGTGGGCCAACCCAAACCACAACAGACATCTACAGAGGGCTCCCGGCGAGCCCTACGGATGCAGGAAAGTTCTGGGAAACTGGTGTATAAGGGATGGCCTGGGAACGGGCCTGGAAAACTGGAGAGTGAGGTGCCCATGTGAGCCTCAGATGGCTGCCAGCAAGGCCTGCGTGGTCCCGGGGCAGGCAAGTGGGTGGGCACTGAGGTCTGAGGTCCCAGCAGGTAACGGTCAAGGTGACAAGGCACAGAGGGGCCAGGCTCCCCGGAGAGCGAGGATCTGGGGGGAGGGAGGGCCTGAGGGAGTGCAGGCTGCATCCTGCTTGGCAGAAAAAAGGGGGGCATCGAAAGGAAAAGCCCCAGGAAGGTGACACAAAATGATGACTGTTAATGCTCATTTGTTTATTCCTTTTATTGACTACCAGCCTCAGGGTGGTATGGGAAGAATTCCCAAGGGAAGTGAGGTCTCAGCTGAGACCAGAGATGAGGAGGAGGAGGAGGCAGTGGAGTGGCAGTAATAATAGCTTCCTTGACTGTTTACTCTTTGCTAGGCCGTGTTCCAGCACTTCATTGCGTATTAACCCACTGAGACCCCGAAACAACCCTGTGTGGAAGGTTCTATTATTACCCTCACTGCCTGGATGAGGAAGCCGAGGGACAGAGGAGATACTCGCTGCCTGGCAGTCTGGCTCGAGATCTGTACCTGTGACCCCCACACAGTCTCGGGGGCTCAGCGAGGCAGAGGTGGGGAAGTTCTCCGGGCAAAGGGAAGGGCATGCGCAAAGTCCTGCTTTGGGAGAGAGCTATGTTTGTGCTGGGTTGGGCACTTTGTGTAAGTTAGGTCACTGAGTGTCCCCAGCAGTCCTTGAGGCAGGCCTCACTGCCACCCATTTTACAGGTGAGTAAGTGGAGACTCAGAGAGGTTTCCTCATTTGCCCAAGGCTATGCCAGGGCCTGGGCCAAGGCCTGGGAGCCTGTAGGTGAAAGTGTGGTCCCTGGTCTACCTTGAGCTCAGCTCTAGGCTGGTAGGGGGCTGTGCTGGGGGGCAGGTTGAGGGTTGGAGAGCACTGGCCCGGGAGTCGGGAGACCTGGGCTCGTGTCCTGCGCTGAGCCTCCCTTCTCCCCTCTATAAATGGAGAGGGAAACCCACGAGAAAACATGGCAAGTATATTTCAGCTCTGACACCACCCACCATCAGCTGGAGAGCGGCTGCTGTCTGAGGCAGTTCCCAAGCTCAGCACCCACCGGGGCACGCACAGGGAAGTCGGGGCTGCGTCTCAGGTATTTGCCGCCCCTGGACTGGGCCACCTCTGAGCTTATTGTCCTGGGGCTCTAAGATCACCCTCCCTGGCTTTCTTCTCACGTAGCCACTCAACAGGCTCCAGGAATGGCCCTGGGGGAGTGGATTCTGCATCGCGGTTTCTCTTTAGGGAGCAGTGGGACATGGGCCTCTGGGGGACCCCTCAAATCACATGTAGGGAGGTGGTTCCACAGGAAGGAGCCACTGGCACAGAAGGATGAAGACATCTCAGACTGGTCCCAGTCCTGTGTCCCCAAGGTTGTGTGACCTTGAGCAAGTCACTCTCTTTACTGGTAAAACAGGGCTGTTACTGGCATCCCACTGATACCCCCTACACTAGGCCTGGTGGTGGTGGGGTCCCGTGAGATGGCATACTTCCCTGAGGACTCACCGCTCAGGTGGTATTCTGCCACGTCCATGGCCATGAGGCCTGCTGCAGTGCTGGGCCTGGAAGGGTAAAGAGAGTCAGCAGAGAGGGCTTTGGAGGGCCACCAACCCCAAGTCCATTGCTTTGACTTCCGCAATGCCAAAGGGCCTGTCATCCAGAGCCCATACTCAGCTGTGAAGAGAGCTCAGCCAAAGGTAGGTGGTTTTGAAATAGCATTTTAAAAAGTCTTTTAAGGTTTATTTATTTTTTGAGAGACAGAGCATGAGCTGGAGAGGGGCAGAGAGAGAGGGAGACACAGAATCTGAAGCAGCCTCCAGGCTCTGAGCTGTCAGCACAGAGCCCGACACGGGCTTGAACTCAACGGAACGCCAGATCATGATCTGAGCTGGTTAGACGCTTAACCGACTGAGCCACCCAGGCGCCCTTAAATAGCATTTTTTACAAAATAGGATTTAAAGCTTTTTTCGACCACTCTAAGACCATCTTTATCCAGGGTTGCCAGATAAAGCACAAGATGCCCAGTGACATTTGAATTTGATTCATTTTTAGCATAAGTATATCCCATGTACTATTTGGGACATACTTACACTTAAAAATTATTGTTTATCTGAAACTCAAAAGTGCCTGGGTATCCTGCATTTCTACTTGCTAAATCTGCCTACCTCATTTCCACCCTACCCACAACAGGCTGACCAGCAATGAGGCTTAGATCCTTTGCTACTCATTAGCATGGGCCCTGGAGGTGTTCACTAAGCCTTACTTCAAAAGCTTTTCAATTGGAAAGGAAAGGTTGCATTTCCGCAATATTCTATTATCAGTCCTTTCACTGCTCAGGATGGCTTCCTTCCCACCCCGCCCTCCACTTCCAAGTTTTATGAATGCAGAAGGTCTAAGTTCTAGAAAGGTCCGGGAGTCATGCAAGCCATTACCTGAACCCAGGTGACTGCTCATAGTTTTATTACTGCCGTTGCTGAGAGGTAAATGTGTCTCACAGACATGCTCTAAGGGAATGGAAAGGGGAGGCTGGGAGGAGCTAAATCAGCCTCAGCCCCAGGGACATGGGACAGGATGGCCCCTGCCCGGCAAAGGAGGCTGCAAACAGGTCACCGTGTGAGACTAGAGTGCTCGCCTGCCCAAGGGCCTCAGCTCTTCCATTCCCGTGGGGATGCCAACCCAACATTGAGGGATCTTCTGGCTTTTTATGTTTTCATTTCATTTTATTTTTTAAAGATTTTATTTCTGAGTAATTTCTACAGGCAACGTGGGGCTCAAACTTACAACCCTGAGGTCAAGAGCTGCATGCTCTACGACTGAGCCAGCCAGGCGCCCCAATTTCCTGGTCTTCCTTCCTCTCTCCCTCTCTCCCTCCCTCCCTCCCTTCCTTCCTTCTGTTTTTTTTTTTTTAAAGAAAAGCAAGTGGGGCGCCTGGGTGGCTCAGTGAGTTAAGCTCAGGTCATGATCTCATGGTTCGTGGTTTCGAGCCCTGCATGGGGCTCTGTGCTGACAGCTCAGAACCTGGAGCCTGCTTTGGATTCTGTGTCTCCTTCTTTCTCTGCCCCTCCCCCACTCATGCCCTCTCTCTCTCTCTCTCTCTCTCTCAAAAGACACAAATAAACATTAAGAATTTTTTTTTAAAGAAAAGCCAGGTTCCTGGATTTTTTTTTAATGTGCAATTTCTTGATTTTTTAAAAATATTTTTATTTATTTCTAGGAGAGAGAGAGAGAGAGACAGCATGAGCAGGGGAGGGTCAGAGAGAGAGGGAGTCACAGACTGAAACAGGCTCCAGGCTCTGAGCTGGCACTCAGCACAGGGCCCGACGCGGGGCTCGAACCCACGAACCGCGAGATCATGACCTAAGCAAAGTCAGACGCTTAACCGACTAAGCCACCCAGGCGCCCTGCAATTTCCCGATTTTTAAATGTTGTAACCAATGCACAAAAAAAGTGTAAACACTGTTGAGGCACAGGGTACAATGCTCCGGGGCTGCGGCTTGGCTAGCCTGTCTTCACCCCCCTGAAGCATTCTGTGGGCTCCCTGTGGGACTGGGGTCAAATCAGAGGGTAAGCATTTTCCTGAATCCTGGGGTTCTCCCCAGTGTGTGGCTTTGGAACCAAGAAGTTAGGGTGCTTTGGTCTAGACAGGGTTATCCAGCGCACTCAGGAGTGGTCAGAAGTCCCTGGCTGGAGGCCTCAGAGAACTGAGGCAGGACAGGGCCCTGGGGCAAAGCTCTGCAGGTGCTCAGACAGCCCCCCCCACCCCGGCTCCCAGCGACCCAGAGGATGACCCGCTGAGATGTGGGTCCCTCGTGGTGACAGGGGGGAAATGCTAACCAGAGAGGTTTCACCCATGCTGAGAACGGAGGCTCATTCCTGGGACCCGGGCTGTAGATTCTGATGACAGGTAACCTTGCCGAGTACTCCCTGTGCCCGGTGAGTGACTCTAAGCATTTTGCATATATATAGCCTCTAGCCACCCCAGGTGGTAGGTATTATCATCTCCGGTATGTAGGGGAGAGTCCTGAGACCTTAAGATAAGATCATCTGCCCCAGGGCACGCAGCTGAGAAACTGGTCAACCCAGGCCATCTGGCTCCACGCTCCTAAGTTCTGTGCCTCACTGCGCAGGGGGGGGGGTTATAACTTTCCTAAGAACCTGCAGGCCAAATGGTTAAGGCGAACACAGATGTCCCAGCCTACCTCTCCGTGCTGGGAATCCAATAATGCCATCAGCTTTCATTCTGCTCACTCGGCGCAAGCTGACCGCGCACAGTGAGGCTACGCTAGCATGGGGCTGGGTACAGCGCTGTGGCCAGTACCCACCATAGGGCCTGGAACCCCACATCTGCTGTGCCGGACCGAGAGCAGTTGCGGGGCCTCCAGCCCTCTGGGACCATCACACTGCCCGCCTTCCCCCTTCCACCCCTCATTATAATACTCCTTGCCCGGGAGCTGTGGTTTCAGTGAAGATGTGAACGATTCTGGGTACACCCAAGCCCCAAGTTCCTGCAGTGATCCCCAGTGAAGGGGCAGGAGCCAGAGTACATCTGCCTGAATGGACGGAGGAGAGAACTGGGGGTTGGGAAAGGGGTCAGGCAGCCTGAGCACAGCTCTGAATCTCAGATCTGCCCCCTTACTAGCTCTGAGCCTCAGTTGTTCTATCTGTAAAATGGGGCTCGTGACTGCCCTATCAGGGAGCCAGGAGGGTAGAATGAGAGGTGAGTAAGTGTAGTCTGGCTGGGCAAATATTAGCTGTTGTGGTTACTGGCCTAACAACCATCCCAAAGGCTAACTCACCCCTAACTAACCCCCAGTTAGAGCAGAATTGTGTGGGCAGCACTGCCAGCTTGCAGATATTTTTTATGTGTCTTAAATTCAAGGGTGTTGCCAATGCTTAAAAATTAGGAAATTTCCCATTAAAAATTGATTTTAAAAAAAAAGCTGGATTTACTGCTTCCCTCTAAAAGTATCTGAAGACAGTGGGTCTGTATCCCCTACCCTGCAGAGCAGCCACGGCTGGAGCTGAGTGGGCTCTGCCCCTTCGGATAGGTCTGGCACCTCCCATGCCTCCATTCGCTTCCAGAACCTGCTGGCCCCTAGAGCATCTCTGTTCATGAACCTGGTAAGCGGGCCTTCAGATGAGCTATGGGAGGTTCAGAAAGGTTGAGTGATTTGCCCAAAGCCACACAGCCAGCAGTGGCCGCTGCCTGGACCAGCACCTCTGCCGTTAGTAGCCACAGCCCCCAAGGAGTTCACATATGTGTTCCCATCACCTCCCCCAAGACCCCTATGGGACAGATCCTATTATTGACCTGATTCCACAGAGGAGGAAAATGAGGCTCAGAGACGGGCAGTGAATTTGCCCAAGGTCATCCGACCAGGAAGCAGGGAGCGAGGCCTGAACTAGATCGGGCTCTGCAGCTAGTGCCCTTCTGAGCGGCTTTACGCACTATCTCCGAACCCCCCTGACTCCATCTCACGGACGACCACCTCGGCCGGCTCCCGTTGGCAGCCTGGAGGTCCACCAGGCAGAGGAGGGGCCGTGGCTCTGGCTCACAATGGGATGCTGACAAGGCACATCGGGAGGCCAGGACAGACAGTGAGTTTGTGACGCACAGGAAATGGGCCACAACGGGGATGAGCCAGCGCTGCCCTGATCTCACCCCAGAGCTCCTCAGCTCCAGCCTCCCGCTCGGGCATCTTTCTCCACCTAATCTATTCGTTCTGGCCCCAGTCCCCCCAAACTCAAAACTGCACGGAGTTTGCTCACTGGAAAGAGCTCTAGATTCAAATCCAGGCTTAATCATACCTACCTGAGCAACACCCACCTAGTGCTATAAGCGTTAGACATGATATACATGAAATGCTCAGCACGGTGCCTAGCCTGTACCAGGCACACGATTCAGACCTGATGGTTGACTGGGTAAATGGACCCCCATTTTATAGATGAGGAAGCTGGGGCCCCAGGTCACTCATAGCATTTAGTAGCAACGCTGGGACCGGTGCCAGGGTGTGATGGATCTGGGCCTGGGCTCTTGGTCTTAATGCCACCTCCTGACCAGGCCTTTTGGGGGTGGGGGTGGGTGGGAGGAACTTACCACTGTCTCTATTGGAATTGGACCAGTCGAGGCCCCCTCCTGGGCTAGTCAGAGAAATGGATTTCCAGGAATTGTTGTGCTTCTTCAGGGAAAGGGGGCCTCATCTCTCTACTCCCCCCACCCTGTTTCCCTGTTCACTGTGTCCCCACATCACATCTGTGGCCAGCAAGGTGTTGACTGCCTCCCCCACCCCCCAAGCTGTGGCCATCAGGATACAGGATGTGGGCACAGGGAAGTCCTCAACCTCCCGGCTGCAAGCCTCTTCGGATCTTTAGGTTTGCGATCTTTTTCAAGTGTTCCCCCATCCCTGCAATAACCACATCCTGCTACCATCCCCCTAAAGCCCGCAGAAACCACAGGGCAGAAGACCGACGAGGCATTTATTGGGCATCTTTCATGGTCCTAGAAGTGTACCAAGGACTCACCGTGTTTTGTTTCAGCAAATCCTCTCTGGCACCCCGTGAGAGGCTGCTACTCTGCCCATTGTACTGGTAGGAAAACCGACACTTGCCCAGTGTCACCAGAGCTGACAAGAGACAGGCCAATCTTGAACCCTCGGCTGGGAACCTCCACCCTCCCAAGCTGCTAGGTAAACGTCCTGGATTTCAGAGTGGGAAGGGCAGGGGGGTTGAGAACTTGTCTTGACCCTTCTCCCGGCGGACCTAGTTAACTTGGCCGGAACTCCTGTCTGCCCTGAGCCTCAGTTTCCCCAGTTCTAGTAAGAAGCACAACTGCGGCTGTTCTCCAAACCTGTCCGCCTCAGCTTGGAGAAGGGGCTGACACTCCCAGGAACGGGTGTCCCAGTCGCTCTAGGATGGCCTCACTGACTGGGCAGCGGGGCGAACACTTTTTCTGCAGCCCTGGAAGAGGGTCACCAGGATGGCTGGCTCAGGGCTCCTCCACCACAAGCCTGGCTCCAGGGCCCCATGTTCGGCCCCAGTCTACCCCCTCTTCAACCCAAATTTACAGCCCAGGGCCCTAAGACGGGGCAAACTTCCTCTTCCAAAGAGCGGCGGCATCAAGGGTTCCCAGGAGCCCCTGGAAAGCCCCGTCCAGGCCAGTGATACTGGTCGGGGCTGAGGATCCTCTCCCGAGCTCCGAGGGCCTCCTGGCGACGGGGTGCGACATGCCTCTCCGGATCAGAGCATTCCCTGAAGACCAGCACCCCTGGTGCAGGAGCCCCTAGGGTGTATGGGGAGCGGTGTGCGGGGGTGGTCTGACCCGGGAGAGTCGGGGGCGGGTATGCCCCAGGGGCCGTGGGGACAGTCAGGATGCTGAGTGTGAAAGTGAGGGGCGCTCGCGCAGCGCGGGCGCCGGGGTAGGCGTGTAAATGGCCGGGCGAGTCGCGTGTGTGCATACGCGGGACGGGCGTGCCGGGCGCGATGCGATGCGCAGTGCGCGGAGTGGCCGGGCCGGGAAGGGCGCCGGGCGTGCTGTGTGCCCGGCGTACGCGTGCCAGCGCGGCGCGGGTGTGCGGACGCGCAGAGTGCGGAGGCCGGGGTCCGCGGCGCGGGGAGGGGGCGCTCCGTGCGTCCGCGCGCCTGACCGCTCCCCGGGAGTACCCGGGGGCGGCCGGTGCTACTCACCCCGGCTCCGCGGAGGGGCCGCTTCTGCGCTCGGGCTCCGGCTCCGGCTCCTGGCTCCTGGCTCGCCGCTCCCGGCTCCCGGCCGGCCTCCCGCAGCGCGCACGCAGCGGTGCCAAGCCCGGCCGTCGCCGGCAACGCCACCCCTGCAGTGTCGCCCGGCGCCCGCCTCGGGGGAGCGCGGCGCGGGCCGGGGGCTCGGCCGGGCCGGGGCGGCGGACGGGAGCTGCTGCGCCGCAGTCCGGGCACGCTCCCAGGAGCCCGCCGCGCGCTCCCTCGCGCTCGCCCGCCACCCCCCTCCCCTCCCGCTCCCTCTTTAATTTAAAGTGACAACCCCGAGCGCTCTCTCCGCTCCCTGGAGTCGCGCACCGCTGCCGGGGTCTGAGCCAACGATCCCCAAGCGCGTTCCGCAGTCCCGCGGGGTCTCCCGAGGCCGAGCCCGACCCCTCACGCCCGGGCCTGGCCTGGCGGCCGAGCGGGGGTGGGGATGTGCTCCCCAGGTACTCGGAGAGGCAGGCGAAGCTCGGGACGCAGGCCCGGGCTTGCTTCTAGCCCCAGCCTGCAGCACCCTGGGCTATCCTGTTCCTTTTCTGGGCCTCAGTTTCTTTTTCCGTAAAACGGGCCTGATGCTGCCCACCTCCTAGAAACCGGTAAGAAAACAGGTGCAAGATGGAGCAACGGGAGGTCCCCCCTTTCCCGAATGCATAGTTACCCCTTCCCCCATAATTAGGCTGTGGCGCAGGCCAACATCATCTCACTTAATCTTCACAAAGATCTAATGGGTTCGTGGTCACTCCATTTTTACATGAAGAAATAGGCCTTCCCAAGGCCACAGAACGAAAGGTCAGAGCCAAGACTTGAATCTACGTCTGTGTGACTTCAAAGCCCACGCTCTTAACCTGTTAGAGGTCGTGCTTTCTCTCCCAAAGGGATGAATGAATCATTGAGGAGGTATTTATGACGCCCCCGCTGGACTCTGGGCAGAGTGCCAGGTGCGGGGGCTCTCCCATGTTCCTGGAACAGGGGACAGGACCCACCCTACCCTGCAGGCTGGCAGGGAGGCACGCGCTCGTGAGGGGCCCGTGCATGTGTATTTGTGTGGGGGGGGGCAGGTGCCGCAATGCCAGTGCTGTGGGCACAGTGATCAAGAGAGCAGGCTTGGTGGGCACCTGGGAAGCCCTTTGAGGGGGGGTTGGTGGCTGGAGGATCTGGGATGAAGTGAAGGGGAGAAAGGATCTCAGGCAGGGAGTGATGTAGGCAGCAAGGCAAAAGAAAACATTGAAATTTCCTAAATACAGATGACCCACAGACAAGTCCTTGAAAGGAAGGAAGAGTGACCTTCCTATGGGCGCTCAGCTGACAATTGATGTTGACAATTTCCTAAGGGCAAACGGCCACCCCAGCTTAACATTATCCTGACCCCCCAGGATCCTACTTATCCTTATAAAAAATCTACTTATAAAAATTCCTTTGGGGGGGGCACGTGGGTGGTTCAGTCAGTTAAGCGTCCAACTCTTGATTTCGGCTCAGGTCATGATCTCACAGTTCGTGAAATCAAGCCCTGCATCAAGCTCTGGGTTGACAGCTCAGGGCCTGCTTGGGATTCTTTCTCTGCCCCTTGCACGTGCATGCTCGTGCTCTCTCTCAGAATAATTAACATCTCTTAAAAAATTCCTTTGGAAACTTCCTTTATGTCTATCCTCCAAATATATGTTAACAATCATCTTCCAAGCTATGGGCCACTGATGTACATCTGAAGGGTCTCATGACCAAGGTTTTATTAGACAGCAATAAATGATCTTTTCCTAACAACAGCTAGCCCCCTCAAGGTCCTGGAACCTTGCTTCCAAATTCCTTAGAGACTTATCGCTATCCCTAACCCCCCCCCCCCAACTTGAAAGTATATAATCAGTCATGCCTTTTAAAAGGTAAGGCATTAATTATGATCCTTGGAGGTAAGTACCAGGCACTGGGCCACCGAGTTTCACTATCATTATTCATTTAATCTTCACAGACAGCTGCAGATTTGGAATGATTGAGCCCATTTTCCGTGTGAGGTCACCAAAGCTTGAGGAATGACGGCGTTCCCCATTTGGGTGGGAGTGGTGTTCAATACACCATCAGCACATAAAAGGGCAGCTTTGAGGGGCACCTGGGTGGCTTAGTCGGTTAAGCGTCCAACCTCAGCTCAGGTCATAGTCTCACAGTTTGTGGGTTCGAGCCCCGCGTCAGGCTCTGTGCTGACAGCTCAGAGCCTGGAGCCTGTTTCGGATTCTGTGTCTCCCTCTCTCTTTGACCCTCCCCTGCTCAGCTGTCTCTCTCTCAGAAATAAATAAAACATTAAAAAAAATTTTTAAAAAGGGCAGCTTTGATATGGGCTTCTATGGGAGCAGGAGAAAGCAGAAGTTGAGGCTGATCTGGTTCTGGCGTCAGCCAGGCTGCTGCAGGAACTGCAGTGAACTTGGAAGGAAATCTTGTAAATTTCATGTTAAAAACCCTTTGTTGGGCAGAAAAGCCTGTGCACTGTGCACCAATGTCAGGGACCCAAGTGCCTGTCCACAGTCAGGCGTGCAAATGCATCGGGGTATAGTCACGTGGCAGACGTGCAGCAAAGGGAAAGAAAAACTACTACCATCTGCAACAAAGTAGATAAATTTCACCTGCAGGTGATAGTGAATGGTGTTTATAGTGTTGAGTGAAATAAGCCAGACAAAAGAACACATGCCGTATGATTCCATTTATTTAGCCCACGTATATATGTTTTTTTAAAAACCAGGCAAAACTACTCTGTTGTTGGCAGTCAGGATGGCAGTTACCATGGGGGGTGATGGCTGGAAGGGTCTAAGGGGGATTCTCGGGTGCTCCTCATGTTCTGTTTTTTAAAAACATTTTTTAAAAGTTTATTTATTTTAAGAAAGAGAGAGAGAGAGTGCGCAAGTGAGCACAAGTGCGGGGAGAGAGACAAAATCCCAAGCAGATCTCTGCACCATCAGCACAGAGCCCGATTTGGGGCTCGGACTCACAAACTGTTGAGATCATGACCTGAGCTAAGGTCGAGAGTCAAACGCTTAACCAACGGCACCACCCACGCACCCCTCATGTTCTGGTTTTGATCTTGGTGTCGGCTCCTGGGTGTGTTCATTTTGTGAAAGTTCCCAGCACTGGACACTCACGGTTTGTACGAATTTCTGCACACATGATCCGCTTCTGTATACAAGAACAAAAGCGCCTCGTTTGGCTGTCCACCAGGCTGGAATAAAAGCCAAACTGCTTTCTGTGGTCTGTAAGGCCCTGCTGGTCTCTCTGAGCTGCCCTACAATCCTCGTCCTCACCCACCGGTCTCCCGCCTCCCAGGCCTTCTGGTGTCCCTGATACCTGCCAAACCATTCACCTCAGGGATTCTCACTTGCTGGTCGCTCTGCCTGGAAAGCACTTTCCCTGCTCTGGCTCTCCCTCACCCCTCAACGTCACCCTAAAGCAGTCACCTCTACAGAGAGGCCCTCTGACCACCCCCCAGAGTCCTCCACCACAGCTGTTTCCTTCAAAACACCAGCCGTGATCTGCGATTATTTCATTTATTTGTTTACAGTTAATTTTCTGCCTCCCCCACTGGACCAACAATCGCAAACACACGGCACACTTAGTATTTGCCACGTGCTCTTCTAACATTATATTAAGGCGTTGAGTCCCCACCCCGATCCCATGGGGAGATACTATTTTTAGGCCTGTTTTACAGTCGAGGCAGTTGGGGCCCAGAGAGGTTATGAGGTTATTATGTAACTTGCTCACGGTCACACAGCTGAAAAGCAGCAAAGCCAGAGTTCGAACCCAGACAGCCTGGCTCCAGAGTGTCTGCTTTAACTCTAACACTTTGACAGTTTTGCCTGTCTTCTTCCTTGTAGCCTAGCTGGGACGGTGCCTGGCATACAGTAGGTACTCAATAAATGTTTGTTGTGGGAGTAATAAATAAAGAACTGAAGGAATGAAGTGTTAGTGGAAAGTGGGGGCGGGGCGCTTGGATCCCAGAGTGGGTGTTGAGGAGAGGACGTGTGCAATGGTATCTGGAGTCCCAAGGTCAAGATAACCAGGGAACTGAGAGCAGAGGAAGGTTCTGATACAGTTGGAATTAACTGCAAGCAGTGGTCAAAGCCAAGGCCTTAACTGGGTCTGGGTCAGGCACATCTCCTGACCTGGGTCAGGCACATCCAGCCTACTTTCAGCCTCTCCTACGGACCCTGCAAGGCACAGAGGCGTGGGGGCTTGGCGCACACCCCCCCCCCCAACCCTGCCCCACAGTATGCACTCTGAGGGACCAGGCTCTAGAATCACGGGTCTCCACTGTGGATGTCCTGGGTGTGTCACATTCGCCCCCACTTGGCCACTCCCAGGAGTCGCACAGCTCTTCAGACTCCCTCTCACCCCACCCCCAGAAGCCAGGATCACTCCAGAAGAAACTCCCAGTTCTACCTGTGAGTTCTGGAAAATTCTCTGTGCTTGGTCTCAGTTATCCCATTCCTTCCATAAACTGGGTTCATCAGTCCCAATATCACTGTTTTGAGGATCACATGGTATAACAGCCAAGAAAACACTCTACACAATGTCAAGTATTACATGAATCCCAGTTCGGTATTATTTTTTTTTTAATTTTAAGTGTTTCTTTATTTTTGAGAGAGAAAGAGAGAGACAGAGAGTGAGTGGGGGTGGGGGTGGTGCAGAGAGAGAGGGAGACGCAGAATCCAAAGCAGGTTCCAGGCTCCGAGCTGTCAGCACAGAGCCTGACATAGGGTTCGAACTCACGAACCTCCAGATCACGACCCAAGCTGAAGTTGGACGCTTAACCGACTGAGCCACCCAGGCGCCCCGGTATTATTACTTCGAAAAAAATATGGGGGCAGGTAAGAGCAGCAGCTCCCAATTGCTGAGGGCTTGCTGTGTGCCACTCAGGAGCCCCTTTACTGCCCCTCTAGCCTTGTGAGGCCCAGCCCCATTTTATGGATGAAGGCATTGAACTCAGAGAAGGGAAGCCACTTGCAGGTAATGGGAATTCACGTTCACACCCGCCTGACCTCAGAGCTCATACCCAGAGGC